AAAGTTTTGTCAGGGTGCAGTTGTCAACTACTGTGTAGTTTCTAGTGAACATGATGAAACCAGTGCTTCTAGAAGCTTCCCTGGGATGAGTCATGGGAATATAAAGCACTGCCGAAGGACTGTAGCCAGTGGTACTGTGATAGCACTGTATGGGAGCCACACGTGTGAGCATAGCACAGTGTTGTCCAGTGACTGTCGCACACCTCAAATTTGAGTAACGTGTGTCAGCTATACTTGAAAGAAAGAGGGGCGCCTGGGTGGCTCAGGCGGTTAAGTGTCCAACTTCCGCTCAGGTCACGGTCTCACGGTTCGTGGATTCAAGCCCCACGTCAGGCTCTGTGCTGACAGCTCAGAGCCTGGAGCCTGCTTCGGATTCTGTATCTTGCTGTCTGTCTGCTCCTCCCCTGCTTGTGCTCGGTCTCTCAAAAAATAAATAAAACATTAAAAAAAAAAATAGAGAGAGAAAGAAAGAGAGAAAAGAAAGAAAAGATACAACAAAAAAAAAGTTTACCTTGGACATGATACACAGGCTGCCTGGTGGGGGAGCCTGGTGGAAGCAGGAAGCCCAGCATGTGTATATCCTGCCTGAGACCCGACTCCATGCGGCCCAGTTAAGTAGTTAAAGTCCTTGGGACCTTAGTTTACTCGTCGGCAATTTACAGTTCAGTTCAAAAATAATTTTCTGAGTGCCTTTCCTCTGCCAGAGATATGAAAATAGACTCTGTCCCTTCGCTAAAGGAAATTATGGTCTCCAAAGGGAAACACACATGTAAAGATTCATGTGCACAGGTACAGTATCAAACTGTGGGACCAAAATCCCTCCCGTGCAGACGGCAGACCCTGAAAAACCCAACCCCATAAAATGTGCATAAGTTACAGGACAGAAGCACATGGTGTCATCTACTTAGAAGGAAGGGACTTCCGGGTCAGGGAAGGAAGAGGTAAAACAGAAGATGAGATCACTGCAGACCCAGGGTCAGGAGTAGGAAGGAAAGGTAGTCAAGAGGAACAGGGTGAGCCTTGCTGTGCTCCAGAATAACGGAGAAGTGCTCACATTGGGGTAGGAAGCCGTTTTTACCCTCTGTCCAGTATCTTTGCCTCGTCACTAGTAACAGAGTAGTCCCGGCCGGGGCGGTGACGCCAGTGAGTAGGAGCTGATGACGTTAGCTGGTCCCCCTGCACACGCCGTGTCGCCCGGGGACCTGAGTTCGCTCCTCTGGAAGCTGGGGACGTTAACAGTGATGCCGTGAGGACTCTACGAGCCGAGTCTCGCAAAGCGACAGCACCGTGCCCAGCGCATCGTGAGGCTGAGGAGAACGACCTTGCACTTCCGCAGTGCTTTTCAGTCCACAGAGGGCTTTCGGACGTCACCAGTCCACTGAGGCTCATGGGAAGGTAACAATAACCGTGACCTGTTGACGATTTACAAACGGCCCTGTGAGGTGGGCAGTACTGTCTGTTTCTGACCGTTTGGGTGGGTGAAAAAAAATGAGAAAGAAACTTTAGCAAGGATTCAAACTATTAAAAAAGACACCAAACCGTTTTTATGCAGTACTGTTCTTTGAAGCCAAGTCTGTCTGAGCCACAGCCTTGCTCTTAGACGGTGTGTTGGTTGTATTTCCATCCGTCCGTCCATCCATCCAGCGAACACTTAGTGAGTACCCGTGTGTGCAGGGAGCGGTCCAGGGACCAGCCATCCCGTCAGGAACAAAGCAGACATGATCCTGCCTTTGTGTGGCCTGCACTTTAGTCAGGGACACAGACCACTTGTGAGGTGGTGCGACACACTGTGGGGGAAAGTGACTCAGGAAAGATGATGGGGGTGAAGGGGGGGTCTGAAGGCACCCATCAGGGAAGGACTCGGCCGGGTCCCTGTGAGAGGATGCCGGGCACAGGGCACAGCAGACCCCGAGGCGGGAGAGCCTGGCACCGGGGCGGGCGGCCGTCTCAGGGAGCTGGGCCTTCTCCCCCGACGGCCTGGAGCAGTGGCGTGACCGCGTGGTTCCGGCTTCGGTGGTGAGAATCCCAGCCGGTGGCCAGGGGCTGCTGGAGTGACCCGGCCGGAGTGGCGGGACAGCAGCGAGCACTGAGGCGGTTCTGGGCGCGTTCCGAGGTGAGAGCCGGGGTTGGCGAGGAGCTGGACAGGGGACGTGTGAGGCAGGCGAGAGAGGATGCCTCTGAGTAGATAAGCTGTATAAACTTCCGCCCACCGTGCAGATGAGCAAACTGAGGTTGGAAGAGGCTGAGCGAGCGGCTCAAAGGCCATTGAGCTCGACATTTGCCCAGGTGTTTTTGCTCCGCGTCCCTCAGGCTTTCCCTCCTGAGCAGCCCCCTGGCGGACCCCACGTACCCACTGGAGGTCGATGTGAGCGGACCCTGATCCTAGCCCTGGTGCCGTCTTGTTTCCATAGTGATTCGTAGACACTGACGCGTGCTGTTGCAGCAGCCACTGCCGACAGGTTTCTCATCTAAGTGTTTGTGACAGCAGCTCAGAGAGCATTGGGTGGACGAGGGGCCTCACCTCCGTCCAGACACCTCCTTCCGCCTCCCGCCGTGGAGGTTGAGCGTGTTTTCAATGGAATCCCTTGCTCGCTAGACTCCTGTAATTGTGCGTTTGTACAGTATCACCACTGGCTTTTGCTGGGTTTCTTCCCCCCGTACTGATTCTCACAGCAGTGGCCAGATCAGATGGGAAGAATTCTCCCTGGGAAACAGCCTTCAGTGGGGCTTTGAGGGGAACAGTGTCACTTCCCGGACTTGGCTGTGGACAGGAGGCCCAGGCACCTTTATGTGACTGCATGGACTCCTTGGGGCTCCACAGCCAGGCTGAAACGTGATCAGGAGAGATAGCACCAGGGCCGGGCTGTCCCAGGTCTGTGTTTGCCGAAGCCTGCAGAGTCAGCTGCGTTGGGCCCGCTTGAAGGCCAAGGGCTTGCACGTTCCCTCCCCCCTTCCCTCCCGGGGGAAGACGCTTCAGCCACTGGCGGAGGTAGCAGTGGGGCACGGCGGTCTGGCGGCCGCTCCGGGGGTCCCGGGTGGAGACGGCTTGGAGCCCGGGTGTCATGCCATCGGGCGTCTAATAAGAAAGATTCGTGCAGGTACGAGAAGTTTCTATCTGCTTCCTTAAGACGTTCTCCCTCCCCCCGCCCCACAAATACACACCCCAGGAAAGGGTGACCTGGACAGGGTGGCCTTCCCTGCCTATGAGCCCTCTGCCCACAGCCTGGGGGGCAGGTGGCACCCAGGCTCCTGGGCGCGCTGGCACAGCCTCCTGGGGCAAGGCGGCCCTCCTCCAGGTGCCCCCCTCCCCCCAGCACCGCCAGCACTGCACCCCAGAGGGAAGCCCTGGGGGCAGGGGGCCCTCCCGCGGGGTGAGTGTGCGCGTGTGCACCTGCTCACCAGGGGCGGGCCATTGCCACGCACCTGCCCTGTGACTGGGTCACCTGCATCACCGTGAGCTGGTCGCCCCCTATCTTCCGCAGCGAATCAGCCTGCCCGCTGGGGTCCGCAGGCTTCTGGGCATGTGGTAGGGTCCAGGGGCACTCCTGCATCTGGGCACCCTTGAGGCCGCGTGCTGGCATGTCCCGCTCTCCCATACAGCAGCCTCCAGCGACCCCTCCGCCTTCCCGCCACACCAGCTCCTGTGACTCTGCTTTCTTGTTAATTCTGCCAGTAACTTGGGATTTTCCAGATCATTGTTGATGTGATCCTCTGTCTGTCATCAGCTCAAACTACACATCCTTGAACTTCAGGTCCCCCCACTGCCCGCCTGTTGCGGCCCCCCGGGCAGGTTTCCTGGGCCTGGGGCATCGGCCCTGCCCCCTCCCTCGCGCTCCTGTGACAGAGTCCTTGTCCCCCAGCCCGGCTGCCACCTCGAGCCCTGCCATCTCCACAGAACCCTCTTCTAGCGAGTCCCAACCATGAATCACGGGTGCAGGGAACTTGACACACGCCATCTCACCTCATCCTCCAGAAAGAAAGGAAACACTTGCTACAGCTGAAGGAGGTGATGCTCAGGGAGAGGAACGCGCTGGGGCCCGTGCCTCGAGAGGGGCGGGGCTAGAATTCAGACCGGACTCTAGGGCTCCAAAGCCTGTTCTCTTTCTGCGGTATCGGGGCCTCCCTTCGACACCTGCCGCTTCCTTCCTCAGAGCCCGGGAAGAGCCGCCCGCTGCCCGCCGCAGCACTTGAAGCTCCCCTCCCTTGCTTTTCCAGTCTCCTCTTCTGTTAGATGGACTGACAGACCATGCGCTTCAGATCGAGCCACAGTTTGTTCGCGATCAAGAGGCACCTAGGAGAGGCGGCTCCTTTTCCGTGAAGCCTTTCCCCGTTCCCTTCACAAGGGACATTCTCTTTTTACGATTCCTCTGCTGGATGACAGGTTCATTAGCCTTGGTGAGAGTACGCTACCCCCCAGGAAACGAAAATTCTGAAAGCCAAGGGGGGCGGTCCCAATGACATACCCGTCCTTAGAAGGTCTTTCTCTCTTTTTTGGCAAAGGGGCTGTATCTGGTTCCTAACTCTGATCTCATGAGTTCTTAACCCTTTCACGCTATAGACGCTTGGAGAGAAGGACTACAGGTTCCCACCGAGGACACTAGCAACACAACGTTTTGATTTTAGTAGCGCCACCTCCTTGCAGGTGAAAGATGGAGGCAGAACACTTTATCCGCAGTGGCGTTTTTTATGTCTCCTTTGGAGCAATGGTTGCCAGCCACATGACACACGGTTCACTCGCTGTCCTCATCCACAAAGTATTGGTGCGTGTGAGCGCTGGCGGTGCCCTCCAAGGCGTCTCATACCCACGTCCCGTCAACCCCAGCCCAGCTCTTAGCACAACTACTGCTTCGGGATTAATAGCTCAGTACGCATTTTCTCATGATTTCTTATTCTGAGGAAGACACAAATGCTTACCTCCCCTTGGGGGTAATGTTCTCAAAGGTCATTTATTTTGTCCTCGCTGTGTTTTGAGACCACTAGCCGTGCCATTTCTGTTTCAGTCTCTTCAGATGGCGGTCCTGAGTCCTGTGCCTTAGTGGATGACAACGGCAGTGAGGAAGACTACAGCTATGAAGACATCTGCCAGGCCAACCCCAGACACCTGCAGCCCGGCGGGGAGCAGCTGGCCATCAACGAGGTACCGGGATCCCACACACCAGGGGCGGATCTCGGACACCCGATTCTCAGAGTACAGGGTCACTTCAGACTTTTGCCGTCTCGATTATTTCTTACTAAACATATTCCCAGACCTAGAGCTCTGATGTTCTGGCATTTTCAAAGACAACGTACGTGACTAAGTTTTCTAGATAAGCAAAGCACACGCACTGCCCTAACTAGTAAGAGCCGCAGTCATTCGTGTTTGGATAGAGCTTTTATCTCAGAAAGGCCCCACAACCGATCCAAGAGGTCAGTGTTGTAATTATTACCCATATTTTATTTATTTATTTATTTTTAAATGTTTTATTTATTTCTAGGAGAGAGAGAGAGAGAGAGAGAGAGACAGCGTGAGCAGGGGAGGGTCAGAGAGAGAGGGAGTCACAGACTGAAACAGGCTCCAGGCTCTGAGCTGGCAGTCAGCACAGAGCCCGACGCGGGGCTCGAACCCACGAACCGCGAGATCATGACCTAAGCGAAAGTCGGACGCTTAACCGACTAAGCCACCCAGACGCCCCACCCATATTTTAATAAACACCCGGAGACTAAAAGGCCGCATTGCCTGCTAGCAAGTGGCAGACCTGAGATTAACCACGTATTTGTCACTACAAATTCGGTGTTCTTCCCACCACTGGGCATCTTCAGCCCCTTCTATGGAATTCTTTTCTAGAAGACACCTCTGGCTTTGGGAGGTCTTGAACAGAGCACATCGAATGCCACTTCTCAATGAGTTAGCATCTCCACTAGCTATACGAGTTGTGGCTGTAGAGTATGACAATGTCCCATGGTCCCTGAGAGGACCCACAGTCACGTGCCCCTGTGGGCTCACTGTCAGAGGAGCTGTGTCTGTCCCTTCCTTTTTTAAATTTGCTGTTAAATATCTGGAGATCAGATACGTGTTCCCTTTCGTTGCAGTAGACCGTAAAGTTAGATTAGAGGTTTATTCAGGCTATGAATGAAGGATGGAGAGAAATCTCTAGATGCACCTGTGAGTCTCTTACAATAAAGTAGAAACCTAACCGTCAGAGGCTGGGTCTGTGTTACCGAGTTGCTTTGCTCAGAAGAAACCATTTGGGGGCAAAATTCCAGATGCTCCTATTTGCTAGATAACTTATGTACAGATTCGTGAGTCATTTTAATACTTTCTGTCAAAAAGCAGATATGTACGGGGTTTCCTTTAACAGCATATGAGAGACACCCACCCGATTTTCCCTAATGAGGAAACTCGTTTTATGTGCCAGTCAGACACTGAGTGTTGACCGTAAGCCAACAGTATGTACAGGTGGGAAGTGGAAGCGGTCCGTGCCGCCTTGCAGTGTGGCCCTCACTCACCCGTGTGTCCCCGTTGCAGCTGATCAGCGATGGCAGTGTGGTCTGGGCTGAAGCCCTCTGGGACCACGTGACCATGGATGACCAGGAACTGGGCTTCAAGGCTGGAGACGTCATCCAGGTTCTGGAAGCCTCCAACAAGGAATGGTGGTGGGGCCGCAACGAAGACAAGGAAGCCTGGTTCCCTGCAAGCTTTGTCAGAGTAAGTGTGTGGCGCTGTCCACCGCTCCCAGCTGGTTGGGGGAGGGATTAGAATTGTGTCCACCGCCCCCAGCTGGCGGGGTGGGGGTGGGGGGCTGCTAGAATTGTGTCCACTGCTCCCACCTGGGGGTGGGGACTAGGATTGTGTTCACCACTCCCAGCTGTGGGGGGGGAGGTGGCGGGGGCGCTAGAATTGTGTCCACTGCTCCCAGCTGGCAGGCGAGGGGTGGGGAGCACTCGAATTGTGTCCAGCTCAAGCCTGCTCTGTTCAGACTCAAGTCTTTGTCATCATTTTATTTTGTTTATTTTTTAATTTTTAAAAATTTATTTATTATTGAGAGTTATTATTTTTTAGTTTATTTATTTTTGGGACAGAGAGAAGAGAGCGAGCAGGGGAGGGGCAGAGAGAGAGGGAGACACAGAATCAGAAGCAGGCTCCAGGCTCCCAGCTGTCAGCACAGAGCCTGGTGCGGGACTCGAGCTCACGAACCATGAGGTCATGACCTGAGCTGAAGTCTGAATGCTTAACTGACTGAGTCACCCAGGCACCCCTGTTTGTGATCATTTTAATGAAACCTGTCAGAAATGAGATGGATTGAAGGAAAAATCTCAAGTCCGGTCCTCTGACTGTGTGGCCTCGCTGCCGTGGTCTGAGCCGTGGGCATGGCTGGGGCCCTGCTGGGTGTGTGAAGATGCAGCCTGGGGCCAGGCCGCCTTCCTAACCAGCATGGAGAAGGGGAAGCCCGGGGCGGGGGCTTCTGCCTGCTTCTGGGGCCGCCTCCCCCAAGGTCACTTGTCACCGGTGTGTGGCCCACAGCTGCGCGTCAATCAGGAAGAGCTGTCGGAGAATTCCAGCAGCAGCCAGGGCGAGGGGCAGGGAGACGCCGGTGGGACCCGCCACACGCACTCGGAGAGCAAGCACCAGATGAGGACCAACGTCATCCAGGAGATCATGAACACCGAGCGGGTGTACATCAAGCACCTCAAGGACATCTGTGAGGTGAGACCCCAGACCCCGTGGTGCCCCCCCCCCAGGTTGTCTGTGTGACATTTCCGTAGGGTTCTCCTCTGTCCCCAGTGGGAGAGGCTCTTCTGTAACCCTCACTCCCCTCCACGCTGTCTGTCCCTGTGCGCCCTGCCCGGACCACGCCCTCTCTACACCCCGTGTGCCCTGGTGAGCGTCAGTGGCCCTGTGCCATCGCCAGCTCCCTTTCCAGGGCGCGAGCAGCTGCCGCTTGCGTGACTTCCCTCCTGAGGCTATTCAGAGCGAATGACTTTCTGTCTGTTCATTTTATTTACTTACTTACTTATTTGAGAAAGAGCAAGCAGGGAGAGGCACACAGAGAGAGTATCTTAAGCAGGCTCCTTGCTCAGCACAGAGCCCGACAGGAGGCTCGATCCCACAACTCTGGGATCAGGACCTGAGCTGGAGTCAGAGTAGGAGGCTCAACCGACTGAGCCACCCAGGCGCCCTCGGAGCGAATGACATTCAGAGGCGGCAACACCCTCCGAGTGAAACCCACACGATTGCACAAACACTTGCCACTATTTATACTCCTGCCACATCTAATCGCCCTCTCACAGATTGGCTTCCGAGTCTACGATGCAGACCCAGATGCATCTTATCTAGTGGTTTCCAAGGCCGTATTCTGCAGTGTCGTGGTATCTACCGTGTGGCAGGGTCTGCGGCTCCCACGCCCCTCTCCGTTCTTGTGGATCCTGTACAAGCGGGACGCCCCTGTGGCGCGGGCCGTCTCCTCGTTCCTGCAGGCCTGGCCATGTGCTCAGCGCCGCACTCTCAGCTCAGCTGTGAACGCCCAGCACCAAAGACAAGCTCAAGGGCGACAAGCACCCAGTGATCAGATTAACTGGCCAGGGAAAGACTGAGCAATGTTTAGCTTCTTTGTGCTCAACCTTCTAGCTCCGTGGTTGTGCCTCCTTAAGGGGGTTTGTTTAAAGTGCCGTTTTAGGGAAGTGAGTCATGGCTTAGTCCTTGTTGAGCGTCAACTTTGCCCCATCCTTAGACCGGATGAATTCCTGCAAACACTCACGGGTCAGGCCCTCTCACCCCTCCTGTGACAGAAGAGGAAACTGAGGCACAGAGAAAGTAAAGTGTGGGGTTGGGATTCGAACCAGACGGTATCGTGTCTGCATCTGGAACCTTTACACTGCTTGGTGTTAAAGTTCAGACCCCGTGGGCAGCGGTGTGTATTTTATCATGTAGGCAGCTTAGGCTATGTAATTACACGGTGCTGATTTGGGGATGATCATTACACGTGTCAGTGGCCTCTCCTTCCTCCCACGCTGACTTCTCCGCAAGCCATGGTACAACGAGGGTGCTGTACATTGAGAATGAGGAGGGCTGTCCTCAGGGCCGGCCTCTCCATGTAGAAAGTACTAAACGGTGGAGTCCTCGGGCAGGATGTCCTTGGCCCTTTGCCATGACAGTGAGCCGGCTGTGTGAGCCATTCAGCAGGCCGTGGCATCCTGCGTTTGACAGGTCTTCTCGCCTGTGAGACGAAATTAGGGATGGGAGAATGGTTATCTTAGGAGTTTAGAAAAAGTATGACAGTCCCAGTGTCCCAGCCCAACCAGCAACTTTGCTTCCTGAGCACAGTCTGAACACTTTATATAGTTTCTTGCATCATAAATGCAAGCACACGCACCTGTTGTTCTTACTCAGCACACGGTAGTTGCGGAAGTGTGGTGATCCCCTCAGGGGCCCGTAGGGCTAACTTAATTTTCTCTAATTAAAATCTACTCCAAGATAATGGCTTTGGGCCCCAAACACTGTTTTACTACAATAAATAATTTCTGTGAATCTCCAAATTAACGTTTAAAAGTTTACTTTTCTGTGTCGCAGGGCTATATTCGACAGTGTCGCAAGCACACGGGAATGTTCACTGTTGCACAACTAGCCACCATTTTTGGAAACATTGAAGATATTTACAAATTCCAAAGAAAGTTCCTGAAAGACCTTGAGAAACAGTACAATAAAGAGGAACCTCACTTAAGCGAAATAGGATCCTGCTTTCTTCAACATGTATGTCACCTGTTACTTCTTACTAATCACATCCGGTTAAATAATTTTGAAATGTTTCTCCAGTCTAGAAAGGAGTCCTTTTTTTGTTCTGTTTCGTTTCTTGTTTTGTTTGCTGGATTAATTGCCTATGGAATGGAGAGGTCAGGTGTAAATTCAGTTGCTTGGCTTATATGGTTAATCTTTATCTAAATACCTCGAGATTTTAAAACCTTCCTACTTTTATGCAGTTTGGAGTTAGGAGGTTGTATTTGGAGTCATTTCTCATAATCCTATTAAGTAACTATTATATATTCATTCTTTTCAGGGGTTTCTTATGTTAGCTTCTGTACTATTATGAAATAGGTAGGACTGATTGTTTCACCCATTTTCCATATGCAGAAACCCGCCCAGAGAGTAAGTGACCCAAGGTCACACAATATTTTTTTCTTTTTAATGTTTCTTTATTTTTGAAAGAGAGAGCGAGACAGAGCACGAGCAGGGGAGAGGCAGAGAGGGAGGGAGACACAGAATCTGAAACAGGCTCCAGGCGCTGAGCTGTCAGCACAGAGCCCGACGCGGGGCTCGAATGCACAAACTGTGAGATCATGACCTGAGCCACAGTTAGACACTCAATCGACTGAGCCCCCCAGGCTCCCCTCAAGGTCACACATTAGTGAGGAGCAGGTGTGGATTGAGACCCAGGCGTGCAGCTCTCGCACCCCTGCGTGGAACGCCGTGACTGCCTCCGATCAGTCTTGTGATGATGGTGTGATCTTATTAACTGAGGGCTGGGTGCCCTGTGGAACATTAACAGGTTTCAGGGGAAGGAGACTTTATTTCCAGCCCGAATGGACATAGTCATCATCGTCATAATAGCAGTAACAGCCACCTCCTCAGGTAGCACTTGCCGGGTACTGACCCCCGGGGCTATACAGAGGCAGCAGACAGGAAGCTGGTCCTTGGGTGGGTGGCTTTTAAGTGGCTGAAAATAATGCCATGGTGACCACACAGGTGGGAGTCTCGGCCCCACGAGTGCACTGGGTCTGTCTGGGACTTGGTGAAAGGCCTGTGTGGCCAGAGCAGAAAGTTCTAAGAGAGAAGCTTCCGAGGTCCCTGAAGGTCAGGCTGCAGGGGGCAGGGCCTGATGAAGGCCAAGGCTCGGAGTGTGGGCCTTGCCTGGAGAACGGGACAGTCTCCATAAGGGGTGAGGCCCTGCTGCTCCTGGGGAGGCTGGAGAGGTGGCCCCAGGGAGGGGACCAGCTGAGGAAAGTGGCCTTGGGGACAGAACTGCCTGCATGGTGTCAGGTCTCCAAGAATTAACAGGTGGGCTGGGAAAACCTGACTTCCAGGGACACAGGAGGTGAGACATGTTGTGTTGGACACAGTTAAGTATAAGCTGTGGGGGGACACCACACGGCCTGGGCAGGGCGGATCACTGCAAGCAGGCAGCCTGGACCCGGTGGCTGCGGGGAGGGGGGGGATGCGCAGAGGCCCTGGGAGTCCAGAAAGGGGGGAAGCCCACGACGTTCGGGTGGGGGGCCCACGATGCATGGATGGGGGGACCGACGGGGCGCCGCTCTGGAGTCCAGGAGAGCAGTGCAGGCGCCCTGAGACCTGGCCGGGCAGCGGCGTCCACGTGAGAGGTCAGAGGGGAGGAAGGGGGACCGAAGCTTCATGTGTGTGGAAACCAGGCTGAAGGACCTTAGGGAGAGGGCTTGCCGCGTGGGGAGCATGTGGTGGCCTTGAATCCTCCCCTCTAGGTCACGGTCACAACCATGCTTATCAGTGAAGGTAAAGAGGACGACAGGGAGACAGCTGGACCTGGGCACAGTGCCTGCCTTTCCTTCGAGCAGGGCTGGGGTGGGGACTGGGTTGTGGCGGGGCCTCTCTCCTGCAGAAGCCCCTGACACATCGTCACGAGGGGGCCTCGAGTGGGACCAGGGAACGGGCCCTAGAGGAGCCCCCCTCCCCCTGCCCTGTAAGCGGCCTCTCCCTGCAGGGAACTTGCTGGCTTGTTGCCCAGGCGGGAGTACTGAGGGGCGGGGGCTCTCCGGATGCCCCGCCCCCCCCAGCCTGGTGCCCTGACATGTACCCTGACGTGTACCCTGACGCCACTCTCCTTCCCCTTCCCAGCAAGAGGGCTTCGCCATCTACTCCGAGTACTGTAACAACCACCCCGGCGCCTGCGCGGAGCTGTCCAACCTGATGAAGCAGGGCAGGTACCGACACTTCTTTGAAGCCTGCCGCCTGCTGCAGCAGATGATCGACATCGCCCTCGACGGCTTCCTGCTGACGCCCGTGCAGAAGATCTGCAAGTACCCCCTGCAGCTGGCAGAGCTGCTCAAGTACACCACGCAGGAGCACAGGTGAGAGGGGCGGGTTCACACCCACCACGTGGGCGCACAGGCGAGAGGGGCGGGTTCAGATCCACCACGCGGGCGCACAGGCGACAGGGGCGGGTTCACATCCACCACGCGGGAGCACAGGTGACAGGGGCGGGTTCACATCCACCACGCGGGAGCACAGGTGACAGGGGCGGGTTCACATCCACCACGCAGGAGCACAGGTGCCTGTGCTCCCAGCCCCGCACCCCAGCTCCCGGGAGCAGGGCCACTCAGTGCTTCGTGGAGTCGCGGTGACACGCGGGCTCGTGTCCTCCTGACACTTGGTGAGCGTTAGGGAAGAAATTGTCACGTTGCTCAGACGTTCAGGATTCCTACGGAATCTCAAACTAGGGTCACTCACAGAAGGGGCTCCAGAACGCCCGCTCCTAGAAACGCTAAAGATTGAAGAATAATTGTTAAACAGTGTCATGAGCACCTGGGGTGGGGGGTGTTGTATGATGTCGTTGGTCCTCATGCCTGACGCATGTCTTATAGACCGTCTACTGCAGCTGCTCAGTAGTTAATAAGAGCAAGTTTTCAAAGACCTGCAGCAGCGTCAAGGCAGTTTCGGAAATAGTTTGCTTCCCATCCCGCACAACTCACCCTGGGAGCCGTGTCCCGCGCTGCAGCGAAGAGTTACTTTAGGGAAGGGTGAGGAAGGCCAGGGTTTAAACGCTGAAAGACTGGGGAGTCTCAAGGGTATGGAGTAGCGTGTAGGCTCAGGTTGGAGGAGCATCCCCCCGACGTCCTGTCCGGCTCGAAGCCCTGTCTTGCCCAGCCTGGGTGTTCGCTCCGTCTCCATGATCTGTTCCTCCCCAGGCCCCCTTGCGCTTGGGAGCTCGGGGCTCCTCATCTCGGTCACCTGAACACTGCTCTTCCTCGTGGGGCTCACTTTGTCCCTAAGTTCTTTAAGTTGTTACTTCATAGCACGTCCCCGTTTTCCTGCACGCATAGCCCTGCTGTGATTATTCTATTCTCTTCTGTTCGTAAGAGCTCATGGACCGGCTGTGGGAACCGGCACGCCGCTCTGTGCCTTTCCCCGAGGTGTGCAGGACCCCGCTGTGCGTGGGGCCTTTAGGTGGCACTGGTTGGGTTTTTGCTGTTTCCACCAGGCGACAGGTGGAAAGCCAGTGGTATCCAGGGCGTTAGGATACAGCTCGCTCTTTTCGGTAAGACTCAAGCCTCACTCGTGACGTCCATGTCACTTGTAAAAAGCTTTCAGTGCACCTGTGGCCCTTGAAAGGGCAATCTTGGAAGGTTCCAGGATGGGGGGAAGGCAGGATCGTCCCCAGGGGAAACTGCCGTGCCAAAGCACGGCGATGATGGGATTTAACAGCTAACTATTGCCCTGCGAGCAGGCAGATTATCCATGGCTGTGCCTGGCCCCTGCAGGGTGTGCAGGATGGAGTGTCTTTCGTCCCGTCTGCTGCCGGGCTCCTGGGGAGTCATGGGGCGTGCCAAGGAATCTTTTCACAGTTAGATTGCAAGGTGGAAAGAGAAAAAGAGCCCGGCTGCCAAATAATAGAGCCTATAGATGTGGACGCTAGTTTAAAGAATTAAGATTAAAGGAATAGGAGAAAGGCGTTCATGGAAATAGATAAGAGGGAAGGGAGCTATATGTATATTATTGTTTCTGTTTCTGATGGAAAAGTCAGGAAACTTGAGTGGAAGCAAAATAGCAAAGTTAAGAGGGCCACACCTTTGAAGGAAATGTTACAGAATAAAAACACACCCTGATGAGGAACCAGAGAAAATATATCAGGGAATAAAAAGGGACATCTTGACAGACCTGGGCAGCGGCTTGGTGCATTCCAAGATGGGAAAGATGTGGCCAGAAGTCTGTACGTCATCTTTCAACAGTTGGTTTCTCTCTTTTCTTTTTAGCGTTTTTTTTAATGTTTTTATTTATTATTGAGAGACAGAGACTGAGCATGAGTGGGGGAGGGGCTCAGAGAGGGGGAGACACAGAATCCAAAGCAGGCCCCAGGCTCTGAGCTGTCGGCACGGAGCCCGACACTGGGCTCGAACCCACAAACCATGAGATCATGACCTGAGCTGAAGTCCGACACCCAACTGAGCCCCCAGAAGCCCCTCTTTGTTTCTTTTAAGGACATTTCTCACTAATACTTAGGCATATCCTCACCCCTCGAAACATCTTCTTTAAAGGAAAGGACAGAAAGCCCATTTCCCATGCTTCATTCAATAAAACAAAACTTTTTTTTTTTTCACAGAAACCTTTACCCTCTGCCTCCTTCCTAGAATTGACAGGAAATCTTGTAGGAAAAAAATATACAGTCATTTTGGGTGCGTTTCTTCATTGCTGGGGTCTGGAGTGGGTGGTGGCCCCACAGTTCTGGCCGCCCCCCTGCACCTGTTTTGTTCTCCATCGTGCCTGCTTCTGCGTGAGGACGGGCCGTGTAAGGACAGCGGGGCCTTGTGGGGGGCGGGGGGGTGTGCCCGGGGCCGCGCCGGATGGAGTTGAACTGCGTTTGGTAACTAAACAGTAGACTCTGCTCCCAAGGCTCTTTTGCCCTGACGGCGCAGGAGGATCCGAATTCGGTGCAGCTGAGGTCCGAAAGCCCCGTCTCTCCCATAAGACACGGGAACGTGCCAGAGATTAAAGAATTCAGCTCAGTAGCTGGATGAATGGGTTACATGTCCCCAGATTATTAACGCTGAGCAAACCCTGCGTGTAAGACTTCCCAGTGCCACATACGCCCTGCCCTAGTCTGTGTGGACAGGGTCGCTGTGCTTTAGTTTCCCGGTGCCTCCAGCGGGAGAGGCCTGCGGGATGGGGACCCACTCCGGGGAGCATTTTAGTGGGATCTGCGCTCAGCAGACGGAGGCACCAGGAACGAAGGTGGGTCGGTGAGGTGACTACAGTGTCAGTGTTTACAGAACTCACCACGTCAAGCTCCAGTGTGGCTCATGTCCCCTTTGTGTCCTTGCCTGAATATCCTCGAAGGTGAGGCTCAGCGCGAATTATTAGTCTTAAGAACGGTCAGTGCCTATTAGAGTCCTTCGTATAGCAGCACTGGCTGTAAGAGGACCAAAGTCCTGATAAAGACTGGCCTTTCTTTCTTAACGAAAATAGCCCATTGTCACTGTGACTAAAACTTACTCTTGTGGCATTCGCTTTCATTCATTGCGATTTCTGGGAAATGAATGAAAACATTCTTATTCCAAAGAATTCGGGATCGCGTTCGGTCTGCTCCCTTAACCTATGGAGACTGTAGTCTATTCATAGAGGAAAAATGAAAAGGGAACAATGGCCGTGACTTAAATGCCATGTTGTCTAGACTCTCTGGTCCCCAAAACCAGGGATGGGGGGCATTGCTTTGTCAGTCCCCCTTGGCAAGTTTCAGGTTATACGGTTAAAACGAACCTCCTGCTTTACAGCGATTACAACAACATAAAGGCGGCCTATGAAGCCATGAAGAATGTCGCCTGTTTGATCAATGAGCGCAAGCGCAGGCTGGAAAGCATAGACAAGATAGCACGGTGGCAGGTGTCCATTGTAGGCTGGGAGGTAAGTGACAGCCCCTTCCCGCCGCACCGCACACGTGTGCCCTCGCTCTGGTCTCGTTTGATGACGCCCTTGCACGTCCTGTGATTGACACTTGACACATCCTTGGCTTTAATGGTATATGTATTTTGAAGCGGGAGTTTGACCTTCACAGTTGGCTACTGTCCTCCTCACCGGCACCAAGCCATCAACTCTGAGGAGCGTGTCATTCACCTACTGTTTACGCTGTGTCTCCTGCTAGGAAGTACCCTCCATGAGGCAGATGGAGAAACATGTGAAACACACGCTATAGTGTGGTAGGCGTGCGGGCTCTGGACTCTCACTGCCCACTGCTTGTGTTCGAATCGCTATCATCTGAGCAAGATGGAGGTTTTCATCCATAAGGTGGGGTCGGAAGTACTACCTGCTTCAGAGGGCTGTCGTGAGAACCGTCTGAGACAGTGGCAAAGGCAGTCCTCAGCACGCCCTGTAATATTGGACCAGCGCACCTGTTTATTTATAAAAACAACCACCATGAACGGTGCCTAGCACTGGCCTAAGCCATTTTTATATGCGAACTCATTTAATCTTCTCAATAATCCCAAGAGGTAGGAAGTACTGTTGCTTAACAGATGATAAGGAAATGGAAACATACAGGTTAAGTAGCTTGCTCCAGGCCGCAGAGCTAGAGAGCAGCATTGCTGGATTCAGATCTAGTCAGACAGCCTGGCTTCGGAGTGTGTGCTGGTGACCACTAGACCCTGTGGCTGTCATTAAGGATGATTAGCTAGTTGGGGGCGCCTGGGTGGCTCAGTTGGTTGAACATCCGACTTTGGTTCAGGTCATGATCTCTTGGTCGGTGTCATTTATTTCTGAGAGAGAGACAGAGAGACAGTGTGAACAGGGGAGGGTCAAAGAGAGAGGGAGACACAGAATCCGAAACAGGCTCCAGGCTCTGAGCTAGCTGTCAGCACAGAGCCTGATGCGGGGCTCAAACCCCCAAACCGTGAGATCGTGACCTGAGCCGAAGCCAGACCCTCAACACTGAGCCACCCAGGTGCCCCCAGATTATTTTGAGACCAAACAGAATTCATCCTCCATCAAGTTAATGGGTCAGAACTCACTGTCCAGAAGGATTAAGACAGTTTGGATAGCAGGGTTAGGTTTTTAATAAAAGTAGATTATAGCCATGAATATTGGAAAGAAAGGTTTCTGTTTCAGGGGCCATAGAAACTTCCGGAGCGTGGAGGGGCCCTCAGACATCACTGCATTTAACACTCTTCCTTTGTAAGTGAGGAATCTGGGGCACAGATTGCTGGAGGCAAGTAAGTGGAAGAACTATTTTGGAGTCCAGATGTTTTGCCTCCACAAAACATTGCGTGTGACTGGGACTGAAGGAGGATAAAATCTTACGGATCAAAGGCCAGGGTCGTTCGTACCCAGTATCAGAAAGTTGCGTTGGGTTCGACCCACCCCAATACTGTGAAGGTGTTTTCCCTTGTGTTCTTGGACTGTGACACTTAGGGCATGATTCACTGTCGGAAGTTTACCCATCTCTTGTCGGCAGGTAGCCGCGTGGCCTTTCGTTTTCCCAGATCCTCTGCTAGTTTTTATTCTGGGGGCCGCTCTATGTACCCGCCGGGAAAGCCCGAGCCCCAGGGTCTGGAGTCCCCACCCGTAGAAAGCCTCCGTGGGGCCCCTCTTCTCCAGGAGCAGCCCTTTCAGACCGATTGGAGTCTATTGAGGGAGCACGTTTTCCACTAAGGAACACACTTCCCATCGCGCCGTAACATTTTCCCGCCGAGTGGGAAGCAAAGCCATTTCACGTGGCCCCCTGAGCCCAGCGCTCCCGGGCACGGGCCCCCGTAGCCGGTAGGTCCGAGAAGACACCGTGTCAGGACGTCTTCCCGTGTCCTGCCGCGCGGGGCCCGGCGGGGGGACGGTGAGCGCTGCTTCCCTCCCTCCAGGGGCCGGACGTGCTGGCGCGCAGCTCGGAGCTGATCCACTCCGGGGAGCTGACCCAGCTCAGCAGGCACGGCCGGAGCCAGCAGCGGACCTTCTTCCTGTTCGACCACCAGCTGGTGGCCTGCAAGAAGGACCTGCTGCGCCGCGACGTGCTCTACTACCGAGGCCGCACGGACATGGACGACGTGCAGCTCGTGGACCTGGAGGACGGGCGCGACAGGGACTGGAACGTCAGCGTCAGGAACGCGTTCAAGCTCGTCAGCACGAGCACCGACGAGGCGCACCTGTTCTGCGCCAAGAAGCCGGAGGACAAGGCCAGGTGGCTGCAGGCCTGCAGGGACGAGCGGCAGCGCGTGCAGGAAGACCGTGAGATGGGTGAGCCGCGCGGGTCAAGCCGCAGGCCCCGCCCCTGACCCGGGCCCGCCCCCGGCCCCGCCCTGCCCCGGCCCCGCCCCCAGCCCGGCCAGGCCCCAGCCATGCCTGGGCACGCCCCCCAGCCCCGCCCCCCAGTCACATAGCGCCCCCTTGAAAAAAAAGAAGCGGGATCTGCAAATCCCCAATCCAGTTGACCCCTGGACAGCACGGGGTTGGGCCCGCTGACCCCACACATGGTCAGAAACCCACGTGTCGACTCTCGACCTCCCCAAAACTTAGCTACCAATAGTCTGTTCCACACTGCGGAGCCTTACCCATAACATAGCCTAACGCACATGGAGAAACTGGGCCCTTTCATCCCAAGGTGCGGGTACTGTTGCTATACCCATTACTACAAGTGAGGAAACTGAGGCCCGAGGCACTTGTCCACTCATACAGTATTGACCACATAGTATTTAAAACCGGTTCGGTGTCTCCCCGAGACTGGGCCACAGTCTGGTGACTGTCACCCAAGGCCGTGAGAGGCCTTGAGGCGGCCTCTGCAGGTGTGCCTTTAAAGCACTTTCAGTTTACCTCGCCCCCGTGGTCGATTGGCACCCAGCACCTCGGCCTGCGAATCTCCCTGTCGCTCGCAGCACGAAGCTGAGGACTGTGCCTCCTGCCCTGCGGCTCAGGCAGTGCTTCCCCGTCTTGCTCGCATCTGCCCAGGGTCTGCGCACCTCTTGACTGGCCCTAACAGCCTGGAACTGTCCGGCCCGGTCCGTCAGCTCAAGGCACACGGCCTTCCGGGCACATTAGGGCTTTGCCCCAGCTGTTGAATGGAGATCAGGATGCCGCAGGCACCAGGGGCCCCTAAAGATGAGGTGGGCCGAGGGTACGCATCTCCGCAGCCCACGTGAGCCCGGACTGCAGAGGTTACGTAGTGCGGGACAGAGAAGCCGCCCGCCGCTGTGACGAAAGCTAGGATGGATGCCTGGGCCTTCCTCTGGCCGCCTGTGTGGGGCAGAACCCTCCCCGGGCTTGGCCACAGACGAGGCCTCACCCGCAGGAGGGCCCTGGGATCCTCCGTTAGGGCAGCAGGGGGGTTAGAAGTCAGTGTGGCTCTCATTCTCCAGCAGGAAGCCCGTCTGCAACCCTGAACCCCAACCTGCAGTGATCCCGCAGCACTCAGTACTCACAGGGCACCCCTTCCTTCTGCTGCGTGGACGTGCCCTTTCCCAGGAGGAAAGCGGCTTCCCGGCAGCCCCTCTTGCCTGGGGGTCTCGCTGGAATAAGGCCCCTCGCTCTGTCCTGCCGAGGATTCTTCAGATGTTCATAGATGCCAGTAGCACCCGGCACCTGGCGTCACCTGGCGTCGGCCCTGACGTCAGTGGCCGTGGGAATGTTGCAGTTTCCCCTCAGATAGAACCAAGTATTACTAGGGCCATCCTCACACGTCGTCGATGCTGCCCCTTGACAGAAAAAGAAAGGAGAGCCTTGATTTTATACCTCTTTATAGTACAGTGCTTCCCTTGTAGCTGGCCCTCGGAAGACGGGAATGGAGGGAGGGAGGGAGGGTGCTCTCTGGGAGCCGCTGGACTGGGTGAATGTTGAATGAACTAGGGTGGCCCCAGGATCTCGTCCGTCTGGGCGTCTGCTGCATCACGTATGGGGTGGTCCTGGAGCCCCCGCCACAAACAGGCTAGGCCCGGAGGGCGGGAATGGCGCCGAGGGCCCGTGTGGGCCTGGGAGCAGCGGAAGCCAGCGTGTGGCACCTGAGGAGGGTGTCAGGACCAGCCCAACAGATGTCAGGCCAGTCGGGAGCCGAGGTGCAGGGAGTGGCCAGGAGCAGAGTGCAGAGGGGGAGGCTGAGCCTTGATTTCTTCTGCTTTGTGGAGAGCCTCCCCTCCGGAGGTGCTTTCTTGTGGACACAGAGCCAGCGTGACGGCTGTGGCCCCCCTCCGTCCCTGTCCCTTACTCCCTGTCCATGCCTACCCACCTCAGCCACTCCACTCACACAGCATCGCTCTGCTAGGGAACTTTACGGGGGGAGGTCGAGGCACATGCTGTCTACAGCAGGCCCCAAAACCCACTTCCCATCACGAGGTGTTGCCTTTGCTCGCGGTGGAATCGCTCGCTCAGCTTTCACGGCACGGAGGCGAGCAGGCCCTGGGACTCCTTGGATTTGTGCCCTCCTCCTAGGGCCTCGCCCCTTGTGGTTGTGACGTGGGTGACCCTACCTGGACGTGCGTCTGGGTCTACACAGGTAGCCTGCGTGTCGTTATTATTTTTTTTTTTTTTATGTTTTATTTCTGAGAGAGAGAGAGAGAGAGCATGAACAGGGAAGGGTCAGAGAGAGAGGGAGATACAGAATCTGAAACAGGCTCCAGGCTCTGAGCTGTCAGCACAGAGCCCAACGCGGGGCTCGAACCCACGAACCATGAGATCATGACCTGAGCCGAAGTCGGACACTTAACCAACTGAGCCACCCAGGTGCCCCCTGCGTGTCGTTATTAAGAGCACCCCATTTCCCCCTTGCACATGTCCTTGTAGGGAGAAGGTCATCCTGGGGTCCATCCATGGGACAGTCCTGGCCTCTTCTCCATTTGTCAGCTTCTCGGCGTCCGTTGGTTCCTCACGGAATGAGGTTTTCTGCTCCGGGTCACAGAGAACACCTCAGGGTTAATACAGGTCTTGGGTCTTGCTTTATTCTGCGAGGGTTTCACTCATCTTGAATGTGTATCATGTCTGTTCCTAAATCTAGGAATGGAAATTTCAGAAAATCAAAAGAAGCTCGCCATGCTGAATGCTCAGAAGGCAGGACACGGAAAGTCCAAAGGTAAGTTTTGAAGAAGGCTCCGTCTCCTGATCGCCTCCGTGTGTATCAGTATCCGAATGAAGATCAAGGGAAATGCCCGCAGTTAGCCCGCTGACAAGCCCGTGGTAGTATAGGTCTGTCAAAGTGGTAGACCCCCCACCTCCACCCACCCAAAATGGGTGCTGTGAGACCATCTGCGTTGGCTTTGGAGTGTGAGTGTGTTTCACTATTTGCCTCCATTTGAATATGAGCCTGTAAGATGTGTTTTGAATTGGTGACAAAGAGCTTCTAGACCCCTGTCCCGAGGAAGCACTGGTTTTCCTCCAGGCCAGCGGGCGGGTCTGAGGCCAGCCTACAGCCCCTGCGTGCTCTGGGCAGGCACGGAGGGAGTCCGGCCCCGAGCTGCTGAGCAGTGCAGGCCACGGTCCAGTGTAGGTAAGAAGGAAAGGCCTCAAAGTCTGGCACAGGAAGAAATAGGTTCTTTAGAGCAGGGCCCCTCCACCCTCCACGTACTCTGAGCAGCCACGGAAAATGACCAATGCTCAGGTCACACCCTGGGGTCCTGACCCTGAAAGATTTATTTTTACAGTGTGTGTAATACACACGATCTTGCCCAACAGGAATAAAATAATAAGGGTTTTTATTCAAAAAATACTTATCATATTCAGAATGACTTTCTAAGAACGATGTGTCCTGTGAATTGTGTCCTGTTCAGTATTTTTGTAACTGAAACTGCAAAAACAAGCCCCAGTTGAGCCCGGGGGCCGGTGGTCATATGCTATGGGCTTGGGGCCTAGAAGAATCCATCGCCAAAACAGCACTTAAGGTTCCCATTGCCCTGCTCCCTGAGCTCAAATGCAGATCGACCCCCCCTCCCACAGAGTTGTAAATACATTGACACAGAAAGATCTGTCCATTTCTGTGGCTGGTGACCTGTTAATATTGGTTGTTAGCATTTGTTAGGCGGTGGGGCCTCTGTCAAAAGTACTAGCTCAGTAACTAGGCACCAGCACCCGTGGGGGATCCGTGACCTGGGAAGGCCAGGAGAGCCTCCTACCAGATCCACATCAGGGCACCAATACCTTCGGACCTGAGGCCCGGCTCCTTCCTCTGGCCACGCTGACTTTCACAGTCACCCGTGTCCCCGTAGCTCATTTCAAGAAGCCTTTTTCACCACCTCTGCGCAGACTGAAAACCCCTATATCCCGGTGAAAGGGTTCGACTAAGCAGTTCCGATCCGGGGTCCCTGTTGTAAGCACAGTCTTTATACCACCTCGCTCCGTTGTGTAGCGACCAGGAAGTGCTGTCATCCGTACTCTAGATTTAGGGGATGGAGACACAGAGAAATCAAGCGAGGTCCCAAATAACTGTCCCAAATACTCAGGCAGGAAGCCGCAGGGTTGGGATTTGGGCCAGGGCAGGGGGGGCCCCGGGCTCTGAGCGGTTCACCGCCCCTCCTCCCGAGCCGCAGCCCGTCCAGCCCTGACCCTGCTACTCTCGCTGGGCCCGTGGGTGGCTGTCCCAACCTCTCTGGGTCTCCGTTTCCCTCCCTGGCGGGTTTTTGTGTCTGCACGTAGGAAGTGTGGTGGTGGCTCTCGGGTGTGTGAGTGAAGGGGCGGCTAAGAATTCGAGTCACGGCGCTGGCTTCCCTCTTCGGCTGGCCAGTGACGCGGGGTCCCCGTCCCGCCCCCGCCCCTCTCGCGCAGGCTGCAGCGCGTGCCCGGTGGCCCTGCCGCACCAGGCCCTGCACCCCCTCCACCAGCGCCACGTGACCGTGCCCCCCAGCGTCCCCCAGCAGCAGGTGTTCGCGCTGGCGGAGCCCAAGCGGAAGCCCTCGCTCTTCTGGCACACGTTCAACAAACTCACCCCTTTCAAGAAGTGAGCGGCGGCGCCCCTGCGCCCGGCGGCTGGAAGGAGAGCCGAGCCGGCGCCCCTCGCGTGCGACCCCGCGCGGAAGGCCCCCTTCGGGGGTCCGTGAGCGACAGAAGCGGGGGCGGGACGGCCGGCGAAGGTCGTGAGGCACGGCCCTGACGCCCGCGGGGACCCGGGTGACCGTGCGGGGGTGGCCGGGCCGCGGGAGCCCGTGTGCCCCGCGGGCATGGCCGTGACGGCCGCGCGGTGCCGCGGGTCCTGAGGGCGGGCCGGTCACGCTGTCCCTTTTGCACGTGGATTCCGAGGGGACGCTGGCGACGGGGGCTCCGGCCAGCCCTCGCTCCCTCCCACAGTATTCGGGACGTCCCTCCGCAGCGCACGTGGCCGCGGCGGCCCCTGGGGTCCCCTGAGTTGTCGCCAAATAGTCGTGCGGGCTTCCTCCTGCCGGGTGCGCCCCCCACAGGCTGCGGGGGAGCGCGGGGACTGCCCCACGGGGAGGGGGCGGGCGTCCGGGCCTCAGAAGCTCCGTGACGCAGGGCTCCTCGCCCGGGGCGCCCCGGGGAGGCCCCGTCCTTCCCTGCCCTTCCGCAGTCCGGGGCCCTCCGCCCGCGGGGTCGCGGCGACCACACGGGCCCCCGCCCCGTGGCCCCACAGACCGACCAGACACGGCTGTTCGCAAGATAAAAGCCCGTTTGCCTTGATTTTATGGTGACTTACACGCGCACGTGCCCCCAGCTGCAAGGCATTCTGGGAACCGCCGTGAGGGCCTCCCGTCAGTCGTTGGCGGCGTGCCCGCCAGTCAGGCGACGGCGACCGTGATGACCCGCCGCGCCCCGCGCCCGTCCGTGCGGGCCCCTCGACCCCGCCGCCGCGGCCCTTCCCAGCGGGGGCCGCGTGGCCAGAGCCCCGCGGGCCGGAACCTCCTGGTCTTGTCTGCGTCGTAAATGCTGATGAAAGTAAGTCGCACGCGGGTCCGGAGACGCCGCCGTCGTGCGCCGGGCGCGCTGCAAGGGGTACCGCGGAGCACACCTGTGGGTTTCTGTTTGAGAAGCCCCTTTTGTACGCTCCTCCCGGGAAGCCCTGTGTTCCAGCAGGCGCGTGCTTGACGGTCAGCGGACCTGGGACGTCACAGCCAGAGGGTGGCCTGTGCCTCCTTTCTCCCCTCCCCCCGCACTCAGGGCTGGTCCCAGAACAGGTGACGTCGTGCGGCAAGAAGACGGAGTCCCGAACGTCTGAGGGGCCGTGGGGCCTCACCCGGAAACCGGACCCGACGTGACCCGCCCGGCCGCGTCCGGGTGCCGCTGTCAGGCGGTGGTGGCCGGCGCCCGGGGCCGCTTCAGGACCTCTGTGCGGGTGCCCGGGGGCTGCTGCTCCGCTGGGGCCGCGTGTGCAGCCCGTGCGGGCGCCGCTTCCCTGAGGGAGGGGACTCTCCATTTTAGTTGCGTTTCTCTCGCTGACCTTTCTGCTCACAAAACGTCATGATCCGTTTTGAAATCGACTTGTGAACTTTGCGTGGGCCCCTCAGGAACAGCCGTAGGAGTTGTCTGTGTACACGACAGTTTTGAACGGCTTTTTTTTTTTCTTTGTAATCTAAGAGAATTGGGGAAGAGAAACATCTGCTTATGTTACATTTTGTATGAGGATCCAAGTAAAGAACCGACTCAAAGGCTTCCATTGACTAATACTCACTAATGCGCAGCGAGGAACGGCTTCAGTTCCGTGCCCGGCGTTGACTTCCCGGCGGAGCGATCACTTCTGGTCGCCCCTGTCGGGCCGCGGGCTCTAACAGAAGGAAGCTCGCACCCCAGGGCCTGTAGGAGGCTGTGCCCGTGAACTCGGGACAGTGTGAAGAATCCCACCATCAAATAGCCACACTGAGTGGATACCGCTTGAATTCTTCAGGTGGTTGTGAAAACCAGAGACTTTTATTTTTAAGGTAGAATGCCTTTGACTTTAAATCTATTTGTCTAGCTTCACTTGTTTGGTTGTTGTTGTTGTTGTTTTACCAAACGTCCGAGTTCTATAAAGAATACGTGGCTCAAGTATTCTAATCATAGGTTTGCCAAACTTTCTTCATTTAAGTTACATGTTCCACCTGGAAAGAAGGAGAAAGAAACCAAGAGTTTCCTATGTGGATTTTGTTGGGAGTCTTGTTTTTCCCTCTTGGTCTCATTTTAACCCCCCCCCCCCCCCCCCCCCAGTGCATAATACACACCGTACACACACACACACACACACACACACACACACACAGTCACAAAGAGGCAAAACACTTCGACGAATTTCACTTATTCTATTATTTGTGTGTCAGAATTTGCCAACTCTTTAGGAAGACCATTCAAATGACCTTGAGTCAAAAGCTACCTTCTCAATTTTGATCCTCCCTGAAACGCACAACCAGCTTGCTGTAAATCGCAAACCATCCTAAATTCAGACATTTGTCAAATCCTAGAGAAATACCATTCTTTGCCTTTGGCCAGCAAATGAGAATAAGACCGGCAGCAATGCGCTAGGGCCTCCCTGGGGTCCCTCCTTCGTAGTTTCATTTCAGTAGAGCTCCTCTTTTCCCTGGTGCATCCGATTTTGTTGTCAAAAGCATTTCACCCCAGTCTCCACGCTCTTTCTGCACTTTGTTGTGCCTTTTTATACCTAATCCAGATGAAGACCAGCTCTGTGCCTGTTCAGAAAGCCCCTCAGTCCTACAGGGCTGTTGTCTAGACACAAAGCAAAAGTGCACTTAATTCCAACTTGGTTGCACAAAAGCAATCTTTTTGTAAAAGCCAGGATCCAATGTTTATCAGCTGGGAATCTCTACGTGCCCCCGATCGCTGATGGTTCTCAGTACAAGTCTACCCAGTTCCCTCTCCCGAAGAGAACAGCCCGATTACCTGGAGTTAAGAAGCAACTTGCTGTATGGTTAATTTATGGAAAAGCTGAAGTGCCCCTCACAGGACAGCGATAACACCTGTTTACAGATGTCCTTTCGATGACTGACGGGCCAGGGATGCGGACGGGCCACCAGTCAGCTAGGTCAGACGGCTCAAAAACCGTTGTCACTGTAAGAAACTTAACCTACAAATGTCCTTGTTAAGATTCCACTTGGCTAATGCTGTTATTCTCAGGATGCATACCATGAGAGCAGAGTTCCAACGGTTTTGAAAAGAATATCGTAGTCCGACTATCTGATCTCGAAAAGAAAAACCCCTGAAGCTTAAACAGTCGACGCAAATATACTTACCTACAACACACTTAACTTCACTGTCCTCGATTAGGTCACAGGCATCAACCTTCATATTTAGAAAATACTTTCCTTTAACTGATCCTGTAATTTAATAATTGGTCTCTTTTGTAAATATTAGCCTCAGTTGTGTTTACCTATTTTGCAGGCTTTTAGAGTCAAGTTTTCCTTGAATTTTAATTCAACATCAAGACAATGTTAAGTGACAGCTTTCACACCGATGAATGAGCTGTTGTCAGCTGAAGGACGTTGTACAAGACTGCTATAACTTGATATGTATTTCTGTTGAATGAAGTTTTTGTAAAAAAAAATATTGACAATGTTCTTTGAATGATTTCTTGTAAATGTTATGAATCTGTATTTGTTTTTTTGTATCTGTATATTAAAGTTCATTTGCCAAACTGATTCCAGTAATGCATTTGAGTAGTAAATAAGACCTTGTGTGTGTGTGTGTGTGTGTAATTTTTTTTTTTATTTTTTTATTTTTTATTTATTTATTTATTTATTTCTAGGAGAGAGAGAGAGACAGCGTGAGCAGGGGAGGGTCAGAGAGAGAGGGAGTCACAGACTGAAACAGGCTCCAGGCTCTGAGCCGGCAGTCAGCACAGAGCCCGGCGCGTATGACCCAGATTTCTATGGGTTCCTGGGATTTCAGCTAGCACTTAACCACTGTTGCTTTAATTTCTGTCTTTGATTCTAGATCTTGAGAATTTCTTTTTCTTTTGGATATCCTATAAATTCTTTCTGGGTGATAGGGGTGGGTGGTTATCTTTTCTACAGCATTTCAGTGTGTGTGTGATGGGCACAGGGCCGGTCTCAGGGGAGGATGCCATGGAGGGGCCTAGGGTCGCTTTTCAGGAAGAATATTTAATGGACAGTCAGGAAGAGAAATCCGTTTTTAAAAACTTGTTAGATGACGATGCATATTGTACCATCGAGAGATGATATTCTTTATCTAATTTTTTATTACTGGTGTTGAAAACTTCGAGATAGGATAGATAGTTTTTTGACAGTTTAAAAAGTGGACAGAAGCAGGGAGGAAGACCATAAAAATAATGTCATTCCTTAGGTGGGAAAAACTGAGGACTCAGCAAGAAATTAAAGTTCCAACTATGTGCAAAAGGAAGTTGGTTGGGAGGACAGATGGAGAAAATAATTTAATCTAAAAGCACTGGACATTTATTGTTATTATTATCATAAGAACACTTAACATGAGATCTACTTTCTTAAAAATGTTTTAGTGTACCTTAGAGTGTTGTTAAGCGCAGGTACAATGGGAAGATTGTTTTAAGGGAAACAAAAGCAGAATCTTGAATGGGAATTAGGGGAGGAGAGATAAGATCTTCTGTGATAAGTATACTCTTCAGTGAACATTCCTGAGTCCCAATAAGAGAGCAAAGGGATTGTGACTCTTGTCATTGCATGAGGCTGACAGAAATTGCATGAGCGTTTCCAAGTTGCTCCTTATCAGAGGAGGGTCTTTTGAATGTGGTCTAGACTACTCTTCAGGACCCAGGATGGACATGCAGATTGAATTAGCACTTAGATAGGATATAATGAATAATACTCATGATGCAGAAACTGTAAAAGTGATAAAAGAGCTAACAATTAGTTGAATATATTTGGAAGGACACACTCCAGTGGGTGTAGAGAGAAATGTGTGTACTTTGGTAGAGAATTTTAATTTTTTTTGTCTTCTGATCTCCTTCTCATTATAGTAATATATATTTCCTCAGAACTTCTTCTTTTTTTTTTCAAACTTTATTTACTTATTTTGAAAGAGAAGAAGAGAGAGAGAGAGAGAAAGAAAGCAAGCACGAGCAGGGGAGGGGCGGTGAGAGAGGGAGAGAGAGAATCCCAAGTAGGCTCCACATTGTCAGCACAGAGTCTGACGTGGGGCTCGAATTCACAAACCATGAGATCATGACCTGAGCCTACGTCAGGAAGAGTCAGATGGTTAACCAGCTGAGCCACCCCGGTGCCCCACTAGAGGCTTTGATGTCTTTCTTCCTATGCATTTTTGTCGAAGGCTTTGATCTGGACCTGTTTCAGATCTTTTCCTCTGAGAAGAATGCACAGAGACCGTCATGAAGAAAACTTCTTTAGGAGAACAGTAATGTGGGGTAGAAAGTGTCACTTTTCAGCTGGCTGCGTGTGATGTCATTGAGTGTTCACCATGTCTGCGCAGACAGGATCATGCCCTGCCTTGGCTTCTGCCTGAATTCTATCACCTACCCCGATGGCAAGGTTGTGCCTGGCCACGGCGAGGGGGACCTGTTCTCAATAGATACAGACCACCCCTCAGAGGCTTTTTGACGTGGTGTATCTTTCAGTTCTCAGCAGGAAGGCATACCAACTGGAGTCCTATACTTTTGAGGACTTGTCACCAGATCTCAGAGTTCCAGAAGTAGAAAGCCTCCTGTGTTTCATTTAGGAAGCTTCCAGCTGCTTAACGGAGTTGAACATTAAGCATCAAACACTGTTAGGTGTTCAGAGGTATACTTCTAAAGGGCTTGAGAGAAAGAGAATTAAAAACTCACAAAGCCCACACGGGAATGTGTGACGAAGCGTGACTTTCACGGTGTGATTGCCCCATGTGGCTGTTTACTGGATGTGGAAGGAAGTGCTGGTAATGATAAGGGTGGACTTAATTACTATAAATACATCAGCTTCTGCTTTGCCAGTCTGCACCACCTTTCCCCTCACTTAAATCAATATTTATCAGAAAACATTTGATTTTCCAACATCTTATGTTTGCACAGCTGTTTTGGTTTCTTTCTCAAAAGTTCCTTCACAGTTGCAAGGGAAGTGTCAGAAGTTAAAAACCTAAATTAAATCAAGAAGTACGAGGTTTATGCCAAGTGTGAAGAACGGGATGAAAAGCGTCCAGGAAGACTGTGCGAGTACAGGGTCCTTCAAAGCCCTCACAAGTTCCAAACGTTCTGCGCAAAGCAACTTGCTTTTTACAAAGTGCTTGTTAAGCTCTGACTTTGTGTGCATTTTGATTCCTTTAGGTCTTTGCATTTATTTTAAACTTGCTTCTGTTATGACTCTAGAAGCAAACTGTGATCCTTCCTCCTTTAAGTGGTGACAAGATGCTTGCACACCGCAACGTGGTGATCGTGTTCACAGTGAATGGCTCACAGAGCATGCCCAGGGGATGAGAATGCAGGAATTAAGTAATCCAGTAATGACAATGAGGGTAATTCCTCTTGTGTGGGGATAATGTTTAGTTGTGATTCCAATCCCTACCCTGTATCTGTCCTGATTTCTCTGGTTAGCCTTTAGTAATTAAAACTCAAATTACCTATCTGTCTATCTATATTTGTATCTATCCATCCATCTATCATCTACCTGTCTTTTTTCTTAAATTTTTTAAATTTATTTCTAGGAGAGAGAGAGACAGCGTGAGCAGGGGAGGGTCAGAGAGAGAGGAAGACACAGACTCTGAAACAGGCTCCAGGCTCCGAGCTGGCAGTCAGCACAGAGCCTGACGCGGGGCTCGAACCCACGAACCGCGAGATCATGACCTAAGCGAAAGTCGGACGCTCAACCGACTAAGCCACCCAGGCGCCCCTGTAATTTTTTTTTTTAATGGAAATTGAGCATTAGGAGCGTTTCTGGATGTACAGCCCTTTCCTGACTGGACAGTGATAGATGTCCTCTCAGTAAGAATTCACCCCGAGTGATCGGGCTTAAACCACTGGACACGTAGGAGAGGAAGGGCCCCCGGGGGAACAGGGAGGAGCCACCTGACTGAAAAAAGGCCCCACACGACATGAGACCGGGAAAGCTCCACCCGGAGTGAAAAGCTCTCCTTTGTAGGAGCAGCTCGCGGCTGGACGGTAGACGAGCCGCACGTGCCTTTGCACACCTTTCACTCCGGGTGGAGATCAGCCGCGGCACCAGGAGATCCGCTGCTTGCTTGCCCTCTGGGGGCGGGGAAACTGCGCGAATTTCCTTCTCTGATTAACAGCTCCGAGGAGTTAAGTAAATAGCCCATTGTCTGGGGCGACTGTAATCAGAAAAGTATTCCTATGAGGGTTGCCCAGCAGCCCAGTCCCCACTGTTTGTTTACCCTTAACGTCCACCTACTTCCCAAACTGACCTGATCCCTTTCCGGGGGCTGCACTGGAAGGGGAGACCGCTTAGGGGCAGAGCATGGGGGAGGGTGAACACGGGAATCGGAAAGGCGTCTCCAGGGTGGCTCCCAGGGAGCAGGCTGGTGCCCTATGTAGGAGGAGGTGAGAAGGGGGCAGCCGGAGGGAACTTTCCAGAAGAGCTGAGGGGCAGATGATCTAGCAGGAGTGCAGCCTGCCTCGTGCATCGGGGAGGCGAGCTGAGGCCGGTAATCCTCCCAAGGAGCGTGTAGCCCGAGAGGGAAGACCGTTCCTAAAGGTGTAATTGACATCGGTCATGAACTATGCGACCACCCGGTGGGGGGGGGGGGGCGGTGTTCAGGTCACAGCCTTCAGGGAGTGGAGTCCTTTCCTCTGGCAAGTGTCCGGTTGGGGAGGTGGCCCAGGAGGCAAGGCCCAGGCGGAATCCTGGAGGCCAACCCAGCGCGGAGGGCCCTGCGCGTGTCACGTGAATCAAACTGATGAGTCGTGTGAGAAACCGAAGTGGTAGAAGCTGGATCCCGGAGGGCCTGCCAACCAGCCTGAGGTTCTGGGAGTTCATTTCGTAGGCAAACAGGCAAACAAAAAAAAATTTGCTCAGCTCATCCCAGTGTCGGCAAAGGGCGGATTTCGCGCCAGAGCAGGAGGTGACTGGGGAGACCGCGTCCAGCAGAGAGAGCGGGGAAGGAGGGCGGCTGGACGTGAAGGGTGTTCAGCCGTGACCGTCACACAGCCCCCGAGAGGAGATGTGGTTCCCCAGTCCTGCCCTGGGGCGACGGCTGGGCGCTGCTGCCATCGACGGACCCGGAAAACGGCCGGGTTGGCGGGGCCCGTGTGACTTTCCGGGCTACCCGGCGGATAGGGCAGTGCCGTGTGCAGCTCCAGAGGTGAGAGGCAGCAGAGAGAAGAGCCCTGAAGGGGGGGGCGCGACCTGGGAGCACCCCCAGAGAACGAACGGGCAGAGGAAGAGGACGGGAGAAGCCTGGGTGGAGGCGGGGGGGGGGGGGGGGGGGGGGGGNGCTCAGACCCCTGGGCAGGAAGCAGCAAGGAAAGGGTGGAGAGTGGACCTAGAGAGACCAGTGCATGAACTGGTACTGATGAGAGAGGGTGGGGCAGGCTGGGGGCAGCCACAGCGCAAGGAGGGGGAGCTGTCAGCGGGGCAAATGCTGAGCCCCCCCCACCCGCCGCCACTAGGGAATGACGGGAGGTGTCGGGGTGCATTTAGGGCTCCAGAGGTCAGGCTATGGGTGATGGAAGGGAAGCGGGGCTGAGTTACGTTGCCAAATTAAGTGGTGCCGCTGTCCTGTGATGCTGGTATGGCTTTGCCTGCGGCACCGATGAGGCAGTGGAGGCAAGTAGAGAGCGTGTGACCTCTGTGCAACGGACTTGCCCGACCCGCGTTCCCCATTCTCCGGGTGGCCTCTGCGGTGCACCTAGGTTCTCCCAGTGGGTTCCCAACACCTCTGAAAAGCAGCTGTGTACGTGTGTCCTCCTGATGCTAATTCTTTAAACTTTATTTTTTTTAATGTTTTATTTATTTCTGAGAGAGAGAGAGAGAGAGACAGTGTGAGCAGGGGAGGGTCAGAAAGAGAGGGAGATACAGAATCTGAAACAGGCTCCAGGCTCTGAGCTGTCAGCACAGAGCCCGACGCGGGGCCTGAACCCACGAACTGAGAGATCATGACCTGAGCCGAAGTCAGACGCTCAACTGACTGAGCCACCCAGGTGCCCCCTCCTGATGCTAATTCTAAGTTAGAATCCATGTTCATAAACTGATGGGGAGAAATGAAAAGCTAATGATTACTGTAAGGTTTTTGAGTGAAAAAAGACTCCAAGGCAAAAGGTTCCGCAGAAGGAGTTTTATTGCCTGCACCCTCAGCCAAGGCGAGAGAATTTACGGGGACAGTTTTATTGCCTGTGTCCCCGGGCGAGGTTCCGCGACTCCAGAGCGAGGGGAGTCGGGGAAGTCGCGGCCTGGTTGGGTGGTGGTGGGGTTTTATAGCCTGTTAGTGGGGGTTCAGATAACAGGGGCAGTCTCTTGACTGGCAAGCCCAGGGTTGGAAGGTTTAAATTTCTGTTTCCCACTGATGTAGTAACGGCCACTGATGTAGTGGCGGGAAGGTCAGCCATCTTAAGAAGGTCTGCCATTCTGTGGTGTCTCTGCCCCACCTCTCAGCCGGCCCAACAATTACATGGCAAAAGAAATTGTATGTGCGTGTGTGTGTGTGTGTGTGCGCGCGTGTGAAGAGAATGTCCATTAAATACCAATGGACACACGGTGCCTAAAATCAAAGACCAACACAGAAGTTTGAGAGCTCTCATTAAATGAAGCCCATTCCAGTGATCTGGGATCCCAATAATCTGTTCGTCTGCAGTTGGGTCCTGCTGGCCCGTGACTGGCCCAAGGTCAGCGGGGAGGCCGCTCAAGCAAGGACACAAATATCACTTTATGCAAAGACACCTGCTGCGGGGATTCCTTCTCCCAGACTGGGACGGGTGCCTCGCTCGCTCTCCCTTTATTAAAAAGGATGGGGGTGGGGATAGAGGGAAGCCACGTTTTCTGAACTGATACCCGTAGAAGATGCTACCTGACTCCAGCCTGGCTGCAATTTTTGAAGTTCTTCCAAAACATCTTGTGCCTTACTCGGTTCCCTCCCCCTTCCTGCTGTTTTGCAGATACACCCACTAGGGAATTCTATGGCAGGAAGGCGGGATTGTATTTAGTTAGCCCTCGATTCCTGCTTTAAGCAGCAGCTGGGTGCAGCCTGCGGCCCTGGGCTTCAGGTAAGTGCGGTAGGAAACAATTGCTTTAAGTTCAGGTTGAGGCATCGGAGTCCTAAAACACGTCTTACCTAATCCGTGGGCTTCGTTATTTGCGAAGTAGGCAGCTGTCTGCCGCGCCTTGGGCGGGAAAGGAGCAGGCTGGCTCCACACTTGATTCTCGAGGACGACGGTGAGCCGGAGACTAAAGCAGATTTTGATGTTCCCCTTCCAGAACGCTGAGGACTGGCTGGGAAACTAGAGGAGGAAGCGTAAGGAGAGCAGACCTTCCTAGAGAGCTTTCTAGAGAAGCTCGTGGGTTACTTGGCACACATTTCAGCATGCCCATGTTTATGTGTGTGGGTGTCCTTACTAATCTACATGGCGCAGCTTGGAGACAAGCCCCTCGATGTATGTTAAAGAAGAAATACGTAACGTGTACAATGTTCAGGGCACATGGAAGAAAACGTATTTGATGAGCAAAAAATCTTTTGGTCTGGAGATTCTGAAAGTGTCAAATCCGGGAGGGGTTTGGGGGTCATTTCATGTCTCGCATGTGACAAGCAGCGAAGCAGCTCGGGGGCGGGGGACCCAGTACCGAGTGCTCAGCTGGGTTCTGGGCGGGTCTGTTGTTAAACGGAGCGACCGGGTTTCCAGAAATTCAGCAGTGAAGACCTACAGGTGGAGCAAAGGAGAAACAACGCAGAAATAAGTTCAGTTGGGACCTGCGGTGGGGGGGCGGGGGGTCTAAAAGACAGTAACTCCGAACTCCTTTGCGCCCCACCCCCACCCCCGGGGCGGTGATCAGGTTTGTGGGGCCACAGCGGAGTCCCAGGGTCCTTCACCCCGTGAACTCTGCGTTCCAGGAGGATTGCGTCCACTCCCTCCGCGGTCACATGCCTGTACGATCTGTCTCAGGCAGCGACTGTGGTCAGATCGGGACCCAAAGGGCTGTATACCCAAGTGCCAGCGACTCTGACGACTGGGTGACTCCACACGCCCACACACCTCCCTCACGTGGATGGGCTCTCACCTTTGCCAGCAGACGCCTGGCTTAGCAGTCGGGAAAGAGACCCCCAAATAACAGTGGCTGCAGCAGGTTTGCAGAGCACTTCTCTCTCGTGTCAAAGATGGGCTGGAGGGCGGGGCTGGTCCGTGTGGCCTCAGAGACCAGAGCTTTCCTGTCCCTGGACTGCTGCCCTCTTCCAAGGCGTCCGAGACGTCTCCCTCCCTGCGGGACACAGTCCGGCCGCGGGAAGGGGCGAGGGGCCCAGGCGGCTACAGCCCCCCGCTTCGGGCCTGAGGTCCCTGCACAGGTCCTTTATGTCCACGTCCCACTGGCCGGAATCTAGGTTCCTTGTGCTTCCCAGGCTGCTGCAAGGGAGGCTGGGAAATGTCCGCTGCGGGCAGCCTCAGCCACCTCAAATCTCTATCACAAGGAGCGAGGAGGGGAGGGGGGTTGGAGAAACTAGCGATCTGCACCGAAGGCATCGACCTGAATTAGAGTTAATACCCAGCCACGTCCCTGAGTGATGCTTTCCACACATGTGGAGCCAGGATGTACGTTTCTAAAGTTAATCATTCAACAAAGAATTGCCTGTGACATACTGAAAATAAGCAAGTGGAAAGATGCAGTCCTCAGAACGCTTATACCCTAGGGTGGCGCCTAATAAGTGCTCCCTAGCCTAGGAGCAGGGTGGAGCTGGGGTGGGGGTGGCAGTGATCCAGTTAGGAGAAGGGAAGGGGGACAGGGAGGGCAAGACGGAGATGAGGGGTCCTAGCTCTGTGCATTCTGGAGAAACAGAAATTAAAAGCTGAGTGCACCAATTGTGGGCTGAACTAATGAAACTGAGGATCCAGTTTATGGCTTTGTAAGAAGCACAAATGTAAGTTTTTATTTTGACAGATAACATCTTAATGTCTACTGCATTCCTTGTGCAAGGCCTCACTTCCTTCTGAATTTTCTTTTTTTTTTTTTTTTTAAATATTTTTATTTATTTCTAGGAGAGAGAGACAGCGTGAGCAGGGGAGGGTCACAGAGAGAGGGAGTCACAGACTCTGAAACAGGCTCCAGGCTCTGACCTGGCAGTCAGCACAGAGCCCGACACGGGGCTCGAACCCACGAACCGCGAGATCATGGCCTAAGCGAAAGTCGGACGCTGAACCGACTAAGCCACCCAGGCGTCCCCCTTCTGAATTTTCTTATTCGAGATGGTGCCATAACTTTTTTTTACTGCTCTTTGGGAGCAAAGCTTATTTGCTTATTCAAAATCATTTGTTGAAGGTTGTCTATGTGCTCGACATGAGGTCTAAGCAAGTGCTCAAAACTAGAGGAAGAAATGACAGAGGCGCCTGGGTGGCCGGGTCTGTTAAGCATCCAACTCCGGCTCAGGTCATGATCTCATGGCTCGTGGGTTCAAGCCCCACATCAGGCTCTGTGCTGACAGCTCCGAGCCTGGAGCCTGCTTCAAATTCTGTGTCTCCTCCTCCCTGCTTCTCTCTCTCTCTCTCTCTCAAATAAACATTAAAATAATTTTTAAAAGAGAAATTACGGAAAGATAGATGTTACCTCCTCCCTAGCTGGAGGACAAAATGGAGTTTATCCCCACTGTGACCGCTTTATGACTTTATGATCCTTTTATTATTGGAATAACTGTAACACATTTGAAAAAATTAAAAAGGAACAATGTAGATCCCTTCACAGAGGTTGGTTTGCGCCATGTAGATTCAACTACGACCAGTCGCTTCTGAGTTAAACCGAAGAGGATGGTGTACATGGTTTATGGAATTTGGCTCTAAGAAAACAACTCAACTTCCTGAAATGGCGTAAGTTTGTGACTTCAAAGGGAAACATCTGTATTTCCTTTTCTAAAAGTACTTCCTTTGCCATCAAACCGGACCCTGTGATATTTAGAAGCTTCCATAAGATGGCGATATCATCCTTTGGATGGCAAGTCTTGCTGGTTTTAAAAATATTTATCTAGAAATACTTTAATAGACCCTGTAAAAAAGCATTATTTTAAAAAGGAAAAACTCCCATAGCCCTGCTTTTCTAAAGCAACCATATTCATTTGGATATATTTGGACCTGGTTTTTGTCGATATGCATGTATAATTACATAGGTACCTATGTGATTCATGATGTGCACGCCATTTAAGTCTGCTTTTTAAAAATTCAACACAACATCAGGGCACCTGGGGGGCTCAGTTGGTTAAGCATCTGACTCTGGCTCAGGTCATGATCTCACAGTTTGGGAGTTCGAGCCTTGCATTGGGCTCTGTGCTGACAGCTCTGGGCCTGGAGCTGCTTCAGATTTGATGTCCTCCTCGCTCTCTCTGCCCCTCCCTTGCTCATGCTCTGTCTCTGTCTCTCTCTCTCTCAAAAAGAAACATTTAAAAATAATGTTAAATTAAACACAACATATATCTTTCACATATTTCTACATGACCTTCATAATTATTTCAGGAGTTACATAACTACTTAAGAACCACCGATGGTAGCACATTACGCAGCACACGCTTTCTCCCTTTTACAGGTAATGCTGTGGTTAATATCTTTGGCAAACACGTTTTGGGTTACTAAGAAGAATTTCCGGCATGAGATCACTGGGTTTAAGATACAAATGTCTTTTCTCTTTATCTGAAAGGTTGTGCAAATGGACGTCGCCCTCAGCCCCGTATGAGGATCTGGGTTGTGACCTGCTTCACTAGCCTCATGTTGTTATTTTTTTTCCTCCAAATTTTAATCTAAATTATGTGAGTTAACACATAGCGTAATATTGGTGATTCATCCCTTACGTACAACACCCAGTGCTCGTCATAACAAGTGTCCCCAGTAGCCGCCGCCCACCAGCCCATCTCCCTCCTTCCTCAGTTTGTTCTCTGTCGTTAAGTGTTTCTATGATTTGTGTCCCTCTCTCTTTTTCCCCTCCTATATGTCCATCTGTTTTGTTTCCTATTCCCACATATGAGTGAAGTCATGTGGCATTTGTCTTTCTCTGACTTACTTGGCTTAGCATAATATCCTCTGACTCCATTCATGTCATTGCAGATGGCAAGATTTCATTTCTTTTTTTTTTTTTTTTTTTTATTTCTAGGAGAAAGAGCGTGAGCAGGGGAGGGTCAGAGAGAGAGGGAGTCACAGACTCTGAAATAGCCTCCAGGCTCGGAGCTGGCTGTCAGCACAGAGCCCGACGCGGGGCTCGAACCCACGAATCGTGAGATCATGACCCAAGCAAAAGTCAGATGCTTAACCGACTAAGCCACCCAGGCGCCCCTTCATTTCTTTTTTGATGGCTGAGTAATATTCCGTTGTATATCTATACCACTTCTTTCTTTTTTTAATTAAAAAAAGTTTTTTCTGTTTACTTTGAGAGACACAGAATGTGAGCAAGGGAGGGGCAGAGAGAGAGAGAGAGAGGGAATTACAGAATCTGAAGCAGGCTCCAGGCTCCGAGCTGTCAGCACAGAGCCCAATACGGGGCTTGGACCCACGAACCATGAGATCGTGACCTGAGCCAACATCGGCACCCCTGTATCACATCTTCTTTATCCATTCATCAGACGATGGACACTTGGGTTCTTTCCATTAATTTGACTATTGTTGATAGTAATGCTAAAAACATCAGGGTGCATGTGTCCCTTTGAATCTGTATTTTTGTATCCTTTGAGTAAATGCCTAGTAGTGCAGTTATTGGATCATAGAGTAGTTCTATTTGTAACCTTTTGAGGAACCTCCATACTGTTTTCCAGAGCGGCTGCATCAGTTTGCATTCCCACCAATGGTGTAAAAGGGTTACACCCTTTCTCCACATCCTTGCCAACATGTGTTGTTTCCTGTGCTGTTAACTTCAGCCATTCTGACAGGTGTGAGGTGATATCTCATCAGGATTTTGACGTATATTTATGTGACGGTGAGTGATGTTGAGCATCTTTTCATGTGTCTCTTACCATCCGAATATCTTCTTTGGAAAAATGTCGATTCATGTCTTCTGCATATTTCTTCACTAGATTAGTTGTTTTTTGGGTGTTGAGTTTGATAATTTCTTTATAGATTTTGGATACTAACTGTTTATCAGATGTGTCATTTGCAAATATCTTCTCCCATTTCGTACACTGTTTTTCAGTATTGTTGGTTGTTTCCTTCCCTGTGCAGAAGCTTTTGTCTTGATAAAGTCCCAATAGTTCATGTTTGCTTTTGTTTCCCTTGCCTCTGGAGATGTGTCTCGTAAGAAGTTGCTGCGACCGAGGTCAAAGAGTTTGTTGGTTGGTTTCCTGTCTCACATTTAGGTCTTGCATACACTGTGAATTTATGTTTGTGTATGGTGTAAGAAAGTGGTCCAGGTTCATTCTTCTCTGTGTCACTGTCCAGTTTTCCCAACACCATTTGTTGAAAAGACTATCTTTTTTCCAATGGATATTCCTTCCTGCTTTGTCAAAGATGAGCTAACCATAGAGTTGTGTGTCCCTTTCTGGGCTTTTTATTCTGCCCCATTGATCTATGTGTCTGTTTTCATGATTGTGTCGTACTGTCCTGATCACTACAGCTTTGTAATATCGCCAGAAGTCTGGAGTGATGCCCCTAGCTTTGCTTTTTCAGGATTGCTTTGGCAATTCGGGGTCTTTTGTGCTTCCATACAAACTTTAGGATTGTTTGTTCTAGCTCTGTGAAAACTGCTGGTGGTATTTTGATAGGAATTGCATTCAATGTGTAGATTGCTTTGGGTAGTATAGACATTTTAACAATGTTTGCTTTTCCAATGCATGTGCCTGGAATATTTTTCCATTTCTTTGTGTCCTCTTCAGTATCTTCCATAAGTGTTCTATAGTGTGCAGAGTACAGATCTTTTACCTCTTTGGTTAGGTTCATTCCTAGCTATCTTATGGTTGTTGGTGCAATCGTAAACACAATCGATTCCTTGATTTCATTTTCTGCTGCTTCTTTATTGATGCATAGAAATGCAATAGATTTCTCTACGTTGATTTTATATCCTGTGACTTGCTGAGCTCATGTCTTCGTTCTACCAATTTTTTGGCGGAGTCTTTTGGGTTTCCTACATAGAGGATCATGTCGTCTGCAAGTAGTGAAAGTTTGACCTCTTCCTTGACATTAAAAAAATTAAAATCTACTTTGTCTGATATAAATATGGCTTTCTTTTGGTGTCCGTTAGCATGATAGATGATTCTCCATCCTCTCGCTTTGGTTTTTTTCCATCCCCTCACTTTGAATGTGCAGATGTCCCCTTAGGTCTAAAATGAGTCTCTTATAGGCAGCATATAGATGGGTCTTACTTTTTTTTTCCATTCTGATACCCTGTGTCTTTTGATTGGAGCATTTAGGCCATTTACATTCAGAGTATTTATTGACAGATATGAATTTAGTGCCATCATGTTACCTGTAACGTTGGTGTGTCTGCTGATGTTTTCTGTTCCTTTCTAGCCTTTGTTGCTTTTGGTCTTCTTTTCCCCACTCAAAGTGTCCCCTTGAATATTTACTGCAGGGCTAGTTGGGGGTCATGAACTCCTTTAGTTTTTGTTTGTATGGGAAGCTCTTTATCTCTCCTTCTATTCTGAATGACAACCTTGCTGGATACAGTGTTCTAGGCTGCATATGTTGTTCATTCAGTACATTGAATATCTCCTGCCACTCCTCTGGCCTGCCACGTTTTTGTGGACAGATCTGCTGCCAGTCTGATCTGTCTTCCCTTTTCCCTTGCTGCTTTCAGGAAGGGAATTTGACTATTTTTTTGTCTATGTATTTTCTGAATTTGACTATTAAGTACCTTGATGATGGCTGGGTTTTGATGAATGTAATGGGAGTTCTTGGGGGGCGCCTGGGTGGCTCAGTTGGTTGAGTGCCCAACTCTTGATTTTGGCTCATGTCATGATCTTGTGGTTTGTGAGATCAAGCCCTGTGTCTCTCTCCTCTCTCTCTCTCTCTCTACGCCTCCCCTGGTCCTGTGCACTTTCTCTCAAAATAAATAAACTTTTTAAAATGGGATTTCTCTGTGCTTCTTGGATTTCAATATCTATTTTCTTCCCCAGATCAGGAAGGTTTTCAGCTATAATTTGATCAAATAAACCTCTCTTCCTTTGTCTTTGTCCTCTTCTTCTAGGACTCTTATGAAACAAGTGTTATTATGCTGTAAGGAGTTACTGAGTTCTCTAAGTCTAATACCTTTATTTCCCCCTTTTTTCCAGCTACATGATTTTCCATAATTTTCTCTTCTCTATCACTGATTTGTTCCTCTGATTTGTCCATCCTCATTGCCATGGCATCCAATCAGGTTTGCATCTCAGTTGTAGCAATTTTAATTTCAGCCTGACTAGTTTTTAATCCTTTTATTTCCGCAATAAGGGATTCTCTAGTGTCCTCTATGCTTTTCTCAAGCCTAGCTAGTATCCTTATCATTGTTTTAAATTCTAGTTTAGACATCTTACTTATATCCGTATTGATTAAGTCCCTGGCTGTCATTTCTTCCTGTTCTTTCTTTTGGGGTGAATTTCTCATCTTGTCAATTTGGGGGGGTGGGGAAAGAACAAATAATAAGAACGTAAAAATTTAAAAACTGAAAAAAATAATAAAGGAAGCTAGAACCTAGGTGTATTTTGGTCTGCTTGTTAAAAGAAGCTAGAGAAAGGAAGGAGAAGGAAGCAAGGAAGCAAGCAAGCAAGCTTGGGCTTCCCCTATTCTCTGCCATCACAACCCGTCCTCTGTGTGGCACGAGTCTCATGTTATTTCTTGTTTTATGTCCTAAGCTATTTGTCACAACACATTCATTTCATTCAACACGTATTTATCCAACACACTGTTGTGGGCTTAATGCTGAGTACCAGGAGTACGGGAAGGAGAAAAATACAGTCAGAGTTTTAGTCATACAATGACAGAAATAAGGGCAGCCCCCTACCATGGTGCCGTGAAAGAGTGGCATCGATGTGGGGCCCCTTCCTGGGGAGATTTGCTGTAGTCGAGAGGGTCCCATGAATTCTGGGTGCGCGTTGCCTTAGGGTCTTGCCTGTGTGTTCTCTTTGTCCACAACACTTGGCCTAACTAGCCTCTCTGCTCCTTTCGATCTCATTGCAAAGCTCACCACCCAGAGTTGGCCTCACTCCTGATGGGGCTGGAAAGCAAATCCAAAACTTGTCATGGGGCCTGAAAGTGTACTTCGCAAACTGCTTGTCTCTTGCGGTGTGTGCGCGTGCTCTCCACGGTGGTTTCTAGGGGTGCCTGGGTGGTCCAATTGGTTGAGCATCCAACTTCGGCTCAGGTCATGATCTCACTGCTTGTGGGTTTGAGCCCCACATTGGGCTCTGTGCTGATAGCTCAGAGCCTGGAGCCTGCTTCAGATTCTGTCTCTGTGTCTCTGCCCCTCCCCTGCTCACGCGCTGTCTCTCTATCTCTCTCAAATATAAAAAATAAAACAAAAAAATTTTAAAAATTTAAACCAAAGGATACTTCTATTCATCGTAGGACAGCTTGGAATGCTTTACTCTTTTTCATTCTGTTTTATTATTTTTATCGTGGTAAAACAAACATTATATAGAAGGTACCATTCTAGCCACTTTCAAGCATCAAGTTCAGTGGCATTAAGTACATCCACATTTTTCAACGGTCCCCACCATCCGCTTCCAGTACTCTTTCATCTTCCCAAACTGAAACTGTGTCCCCATAAGCCCTCCATTCCCCTTCCCCAAGCTGCTGGCACCCACCATTCCGCTTTGTGTCTCTGTGAATGTGACTACCCTAGGGACCTCATATGAGTGGAATCACATAGTATTTGTCCTGTCTGGTTTATTTCACTTAGCGTAATGTCATTAAGGTTCAGCCGTGTTGTGGAACCTATGCCGGAACGTCCTTCCTTTTTAAGACCGAGTGGCATCCTGTTGTATGTGTAACACATTCTGCCGTCCATTCGCGTGTCAGTGGGCGTGTGGGTCGTCTCCACCCTGGGGCAGCTTTGAATGAAGCTGCCGTGAATGTGGGTGTACAAGCATCTGTTGAGTATCTCCACTTTGAATTCTTTTGCGTGTCTACCCAGAAGTGGGGTTGCTGAGTCCAATGCTAATGTTGGCTCTGCTTTACTATTGAAAATGCACTTTTCATGCACTTTGTAATCAAGTTTGTTTTTTACAGCAGCCCCGAGAAGTAAGTATTATTCTCTTCTCTGGCTCCAAAACGTGGTTTGGCCAAAGTGGAGCGGAGTGGTAAATGGAAGTACCCGACCTGGAACTCGGCCTTCTCCTTGACCGTTCGCCGTGAAGAGTGGTCCTAGTCAACGTGTTCTCTTCAAGAACAGTGGCCTTCTGGTTGTGGGAAGCTTTGTCTGCTAGTGGCTTCTCCCCTTACCTGTGTTGGCCGTTCGTACCAAGGTTGATCGGGAGCGGGTCCACGTCCCACACTGAGGAAGAGAGGCTGCGTCTGTGGCCCCAGGAACCAAGGCTTTTCGTCTTTGGTCTGTGTTCCCCTCTTTCAGTTCAGCTCCGTCATCTGAAACATGAGGATCTGGCTGCTTCTGCTTGTGAGTGGAATCTGCCTGGGAAGCGTGAACCCACAGGACACGTGCAGGCAAGGGCACCCCGGCGTCCCCGGGAATCCGGGTCACAATGGCTTGCCTGGGAGAGACGGACGCGACGGAGCAAAGGGCGACAAGGGAGACGCAGGTACTCAGCACGTGGTAGCCTTCGGCTACCCTTCCGTTTACCCTCTGTTCCTCTTACCTCCCCCACTCGTTCATCACCAGTGCCGTCACCACCCGCCCGCCCCCCTCCTTCATTTGTGTACCCATTGCTCGGAAAGTGGTGACTGAGCGCCTGCTCCAGGCTGGATTCCAGGTGCGGCGCAGGATGAGACCAACACGGCTTCCCCCTGCATGGGCGTTCTCACCTGGGGGACACCTGCTCTTTGGCCATCATGTCTGCTACTGCAGGCCGTCTGATGTTGTAGATCTGGTGAGGATGTCATAGATCTTCCTGCCTCAGGTGCAGGTGTGGTGGGGCTTCGGCGCGTGGAGCACACAGGGAAATCTGATCGCTGAATATTTAGCCGAGAGCTCCTTGCTGCCATGCAGAGAGAGTTAGTGCCTCGCCACACAGCAGGGCAGGTGACCTGGAGGGACAGGGAACACGAAAGTAGGTGGTAAGTGAAGCCGCACAGCTGTACTCAGGTGTTGGGTCCCGCCCCAGGGTCTGGGGATCTGGGGACAGGATACAGCCTCTGGGAAGGAGATTTGCAAAAGGCAGGGTATGTGAGTGGTTTCCATAACAATGACTGATAGACTTGGTTCTTGAACCGGGTTCTTGAGCCTGGGTCTGACCACAGGGTCACATACCTGCACCGTAAGCAGAATGATCTATCTGGGTCCAGGGGAAAGACATCAAAACATTTTAAAAGATAAGTTTAGAGGGCGCCTGGGGGGCTCAGTCAGTTAAGCATCTGACTTCAGCTCAGGTCACAATCTCACAGTTCATGGGTTCGAGCCCCGTGACAGGCTCTGTGCTGACAGCTCAGAGCCCGGAGCCTGCTTCGGATTCTGTCTCCGTCTCTCTGCCCCTCCCCCGCTCGCGCTCTGTCTCTATCTCTCTCTTTCTCAAATATAAAATAAGACATTAGGCAAAATTGAAAAAAATAAAAGATAATTTTAGAGGAAGAAAAAAATTGAGCTTTGAAAATATTTAATATATAAATTGACTTGGGTGGCTTTATTTGGTCCCTTTGCAGATGGACATGTCATTTGAGGCCTAAAGCATGTCCCATGGGAGGAGTAGGGGCCCTCACCCGTTCATTGTCCATCAGGGTACTGTGGCCAATTGAGGTTACGTGTGCCCAGCCCACAGGATTTTCAAATTGTACTATCGAACTCACACAAACAGAAGGGTGCCCGCAGATACTTCCGCAGAAACTCAAAGATCGAAGGTCGACTTGATAATGCAAACGTTGAAGAATCACACAAAAATAGCAGAGTTTTCATTTCTCTTCTCAGTGTGAACTTTTCAATTGCGCGTGAGCAGGAGAAAATGAGGATGAACTAGTCAGGTCTGACAAGATGTCTGACAAACACCTAGAAATTTTTAAGACATGGGACCTATGGAAATACATTGAAATTCATTAGAATGAATCTCATCCCAACTGTAAACTGTACCATGAGATATCAGTTATCATAGAAACACCCCAATTGAAGGAGACACTTCAGGACTCTGTGGAATCTGAAAGCAAACCACCATCACCTTCCGCAGCAATGCATTATAGTGCGAACTTCATCAAATTTAAGGACGAATATGTAGAACCCTTTTGCTATTTCAGAATCCTGTCAGAAGATTAGATATTCCTCTGACTATATTAAAAATGGTTGAAACGATACACAGAAAGCAACTTCAGGATAGGCTAAAATGAATGCTTTGCCAGCAGATGCTGTTGGAATATGGATTTTTTTAAAGTTTATTTTATTTTAGAGGGTGGGGGGGGAGGGGCAGAGAGGGGAGAGAATCCCAAGCAGGCTCCACGCTTATGGGGGAAGGCTCGATTTCACGAACTGTGAGATTGTGACCCGAGCTGTAATCAAGAGTTGGTCGCTTAACTGACTGAGCCCCCCAGGACCCCCAGAATATGGGCTCTAAAAAGACTTTGTTAAGTTTTGGAGAAATGAATATTAGAACGAATTACTTACTATGGGAGTCGGCTGCACAGCTGAAATGAAAACCCAGGTGTTTTCAGGTGTTTCTCTGCTCATGGCATTTGGGAATCCAGGGGATTTGTTGGGTGGGCTGGCAGAAGCAGAGAGTCACCAGCCATCTCTCTTACCACCGCCCTGCAAATCGGCTCCGTGGGGTCTCCAATGGGTAACATCTCTGGTAGAATCCATGTCACTCTTTGGCATTAGACCAGTCTCGTTTCTGGGTAGTAAGAAGCCCAGTCCAAGTAGATGGCAAAACCTCAATCTTATTGAAATCCATTCTTCTCGCTTCCCCCTCCCACTGGGACCACAGTGTGTATGCATGTATGTGCATGCAGGTGGGTGTACATGGGTGTATGCGTGTGTGTGCATACGTACACAGGATACACTTGTGTCTTCGTGATTCCCTCATCTTTTGCTTCTACTCTCCTTCCTTACAGCAAGGACTCCCTTTGATTCCAGAGATGTTGACTTTTAACTTGGGAAGCTGGGGCTCAGGATAGCCTGTTCTGGGCTCCAAACTTGTGTGTGGGCAGCTAAACTTCACTTACCTGATGTTCTCATTGGGGTTGGCCAGGCTGGCTTAATCAGTGACATTTACCACCACTCTAAGGTGCCGGAGAGACCCTTCCAGAACCCTCCCTTCCATCCCAGATAGTGCCAGGTAACCAGAGTCATCTGTGCTTTCATAGGAGGCTAGTGAACCTTCCACTCCACTCTACACGAGCGTGATAGGAAAAGGGCAGAAGTGAGAAAGCCACCCAGTGCCTCCAACGGTCAGTCCCTCCCCAAGCGCCCCTCACAAGAGAAAAACGTAATTGTGATCATCTGGGCACATGTGACCATCCTGTCCCATTTCCTGGAGCTGGGGGCTTGGGATGTCCACTCAATTCAGTGCATAATTCACTTCTTTTTTTTTTTTTAATTTTTTAATGTTTTATTTATTTCTAGGAGAGAGAGAGAGACAGCATGAGCAGGGGAGGGTCAGAGAGAGAGGGAGTCACAGACTGAAACCGGCTCCAGGCTCTGAGCCGGCAGTCAGCACAGAGCCTGACGCGGGGCTCGAACCCACGAACCGCGAGATCATGACCTAAGCGAAAGTCGGACGCTTCACCGACTAAGCCACCCAGGCGCCCCAGCATAATTCACTTCTATTACACAACTCACATCTGCCTCTCTCCACCCGCACTTCTGCAAAAGACAGTGTGTGCGTGGGGGGCGGGGCACACTCCCAGGACTCTTCAGTCTACACCCCCCGTTGAGACCGGTGGTCGGGAAATGCGGAATCAGAATTTTAAGTCCTGTCCATTCTCTTCTCTCCCACCTAGGAGAACCAGGACATCCTGGTGGTCCAGGGAAGGATGGAGTGAACGGAGAGAAAGGCGAGCGAGGTCAGAAATTGTGTTCCATTTCACGGCGCTCTACTTCTGAGCCATCGGTGGTGGCTTAAGCATTTGGCGCTCAAGGGCAAGTAGCCTTCGTAGCCTCTGACGATGATGATCCAGCAATAAGGGCAACACAGCTCTTGCTTTCTAGAAGCTCATGATTCTTCTTCTGTCAAGGGCCAGATAGTAAACAATCTCAGGTTCCCAGGCCACGCGGCCACAACCGCAGGGTGAAGCAGCCGTGGAAGTACGTGGGCTGTGTTCCTGTGACGCGCCGTGAAAACCCGAAGCCGGATTCCATATAAGGTTCACGTATCGCAGAATATTACTGGTGACACTTAAAAGTGCAACCCATGCTCAGCCTGTGGGCCAGATACAGGCAGGTGGGAGGCGGGAGGCGGGCTTTGCTCACAGGCCTGTTGTAGCGGGTGAGCCCTGAGGAGGGACGCTGACTCTGTGCTTCGGCGACACTTCCTCGAGAAGTGGCACTGGAGTTGGGCCCGGCAGGGTGAGGAGGGCGCTGGCACTTGTGACTGATGGGCAGGGAGAATGGCCTCAGTGGCAGACACTTTGTGCTAGGTCACGCTATGTGCTTTTCACATATTTTTTGTTAGCTTATTTATTTATTTTGAGAGGGAGCGAGAGCGAGAGAGCGCACGTGTGCAGGAGGGGCAAAGAGAGGGAGAGAGAGAGAATCCTACGCAGGCCCTGCACTGTCAGCACAGAACCCAATGTGGGGCTCCAACTCCTGAACCGTGCAATCATGACCTGAGCCCAAAACGAGTGTCCAACCGACTGAGCCACCCAGGCGCCCGGTTGTTCACATATTGACTCCCTACGCAGCCTGTACATGAGGTAGTATGATGATCCCAGTCTTACAGATGAGGAGACAGGTGGAGGTGGCCAAGCAGCGTGTCCCCTTGCGCGTGCGTGCAGGAGGGAGGGATGGACCTGTGCTCATCACCACTCCCCCGGGTGGGGCTGGAGGCGACAGGGCCCGGTGATGAACAGAGGGACGCAGCGGTGCCTGGGCAGGCCGGACCGGACAGCCGAGACCCGTGGCTGCCACGCTTCAGGAAGACATCGTACGGTGTTCACTCCGGGGAGGGGTGTTTGACAGGAAGTCACAGAGCTAGAGCTGAGGGGCGGTTCGCTGAAAGTAGTTGGAGTCCATCTGCCTTTGTTGGTTTCTCTATTCCAACGCCATGGGCTCGAGGACCGGCAGGGTTTGGCGGTCCGAGTCGACCGCGACAGTCCGGGGCTGGGATTTCTAACGTGAACCCCGACACTAACACAGCGGACGGGAGTAAGAAGGCGTTTGGCACCCAAGCGCGCGTGTGATTGTGAGTGTGAGCGGGTGTGTACGCCGCGCACGCAATTTAGGAAGTAAATTAACGTTCCGCCCTGAGCATGTGCCGAACTTGCACTCCTGTATCCCACTCATATGCTCAGTATCGGAGAAGCCAAAGCTGGTGGCGCAAGGGGATGTCTCACCCATCGCTTCCTGTGTTCTCTCTTTTTCCGCCTAGGAGCAGATGGAAGAGTTGAAGCCAAAGGCATCAAAGGGGATCAAGGCTCGCAGGGACCCCCGGGAAAACACGGGCCGAAGGGCTTTGTGGGTCCCATGGGAGAGAAAGGTCTCCGGGGGGAGACTGGCCCTCGAGGACAAAAGGGGGAGAAAGGTGACGTGGGGCCCACCGGTCCAGACGGGCTACGGGGCGACAGCGGGCCTTCAGGCCCCCCGGGTTTGCCTGGCCCTGCGGGCCCCATCGGAAGGCCTGGCCCCAAGGGAGACGCTGGCCCCCTCGGGCCCCAGGGGGAGCCAGGGGTCCGGGGACTGAGAGGCTGGAAAGGGGACCGAGGCGAAAAAGGGAAAATCGGCGAGACTCCGGTCTTGCCCAAAAGCGCTTTCACGGTGGGGCTCACGGTCCTGAGCAAGTTTCCTGCTCCGGACGCGCCCGTCAAGTTTGACAAGATCCTGTACAACGAATTCAGTCATTACGACGTGGCCACGGGGAAGTTCACGTGCCACGTGGCCGGGGTCTACTACTTCACCTACCACATCACCGTGTTCTCCCGGAACGTCCAGGTGTCTCTGGTCAGAAACGGGGTGAAAATGCTGCACACCAAGGACGGCTACACGAGCTCGGAGGACCAGGCGTCCGGCGGCATCGTGCTGCCGCTGAAGCTGGGGGACGAGGTGTGGCTGCAGGTGGCAGGTGGGGACAGGTTCAACGGCTTGTTTGCAGACGAGGACGACGACACAACCTTCACAGGCTTCCTTCTGTTCAGCCAGTGACGGAGGCGTTTGCGACTCCGCCTCACCACCGTCAGGGAGGCTCGGTTAAGACCTCCTGGTGACTCGACTCTACGAATTACTCTCGTCATTGTAATAACCGTGGGGGGCAGGGGGGCAACCAAACGCTCGCCCTAGGGCGCCTGGCTGGCTCAGCCGGGGACGCCTCACAGCTCTCGACCTCGCGGTTGTGAGTTCAAGCCCCGTGTTGGGCGTAGAGATTACTTAAAGATACAATCTTAAAAAAAAAAAAATACCTGCAGCATTTATTATAATTTATTTATGATTTTTCATCGTTCCCCCTATCCGAAGAGTCCTTTGCACGTTGAGTGTCTTATGGGAATAGGGTCCTGATGTCATTTTGGTTCTTGAAGGAGCCACATAAGGTCTTACCCTGCATCTGAATTGCTGGGGAACAGCCGGGAGAAAGGCAAGTGTTCAAGTGTTCATTCCATTTCGTAACGAGCACAAGTTGGAAGTTGCTGACGGGACATTCCAGAAAGCTGCAGAAAACATTGCTCATTTAACTTAGGTTTAATCGCCATTCCGGTCAAGAAATAGTTGTTGAGGAAACCATTTCCTCAACTTGAATCTTTCCTGCGATTATTGTAACAAGGCACCACGAACGAGGGTGTTGAAAACCACAGAAAGTACCTGTCTCAGGACGCTGGAGGCTAGGAGTCTAAAATCAAGGTGTCAGCCAGGCCAGCATCCCTCTGAAGCCCCTGAGGAAGGTTCTACTTGGCTCCTTCCAGCTTCTGGTGGACCGGGCATTTCCCGGCTTGAGGAAGCCTCCAGGCTCTACCCCCGAACTCACCTGGCCATCTTTCCTCTATGTCTGCCTGTGTGCACACCTCCCTTTTCTGATAAGGACACCAGTCCTTTGGATTAGGGGCCACCCTAATCTAATATGCCCTTATCTTAACCTGATTACAGCCATACAGACCCTGTTTCCAAATAAGGTCACGTTCACAGATACTAGGGACAGAACTTGAACGTTTCTGTTTGGGAGACACAATTCACTGTATAATAGGCTGTTCTGATCCTCCCAAAGCCATGACCTTCCCCGATGCCAAGTACGCTCACCCTCTCCCAACATCCCCCAAAGTCTTAACAATGTCAGCATCAATGCTAACTCTAAGTCTCATCTAAGAATCGCCAGCTCAAAGCCCCCAATTTCATCATCTGAACCCTTTAAGTCAGTTATAATTTAGAAGCAAGATCTAAGGCGTGGATTATCCTGGGGCAAAATCCCTCTCCCTCTGGGAACCTGGGAGCCCAGACGCATCCTTTTCTTCCAGGATACAGTGGTGGGAAAGACACAGGATGGACAGTCCCGTTCCAAAGGGGAGGAAAAAAGGATCGCAGATCTCTAACAAGTTTATTTTATTTATTTTTAAAGCAGTTATTTTTAAAAATTTTTTTAAAAAGTTTAATTTCTTTTTGACAGACAGAGAGAGAGAGAGAGAGAGAGACAGCATGAACAGGGGAGGGTCAGAGAGAGAGGGAGACACAGAATCCGAAGCAGGCTCCAGGCTCTGAGCTGTCAGCACAGAGCCCGATGCGGGGTTCGAACCCACGAACCGTGAGATCATGACCTAAGCCGAAGCCCGACACTCAACCGACTGAGCCACCCAGGTGCCCCAAACAAGTTTAACACACAGCAGGGTGAATTCCATGTGATTTTTTTCACTGCTTACCTTATAAATATTTTATTTAAAAAAATTTGTTTTCAGCATTTAGAACCATGAGATCATGACCTGAACTGAAGCCAGATGCTTAACTAACCAAGGCACCCAGGCGCCCCGTAACCTTATAAAAATTTGAAAGGAGCTCCTCAAAAGGAAAAGGTTCCTGGGAAGAGACACCAAACAGTTACAGTGGAAAGCGGAGGATGGGGGTGAGTTTACTAAGGAAATGGGGTAAAGGGAAAATTGAGTCTTAGGCCATAGCAGCGATTTCTTGTTCAGATGGGCACCATCCACTTCCCCCTCGTCTGGTCCTCATGTGCGTCCTCACACACATCTTTCCAAGGGTGTAGACTCTACACTCTGGGTGGACATGGGACTCAGGCCTGGCTAACAAGAATAGCACCTTCTGGCCATGGTGACTCTTTCCAAAATGGCGCCTGAACCCATTGGACCCAGTGACGTGCAACATGCAACTTTGGAAGGCCAGTTGGGGAAAAAAAAGAGCAGGATCCTCAGGTGACGTCAGAGCCTTATTTGGCAGCCATTTAGCTCATCTGTAGAGCCTGAGAACCAAGCCAAACAGAGCTGGAGACGACCCAGTTCTGGAGACACTGTTCAGACCCCTGAAGGCGGAGATACCCCTGGACAGTTCCGTTGTGTGACACCAGGTTCTCCGTTTGTTTACACCAGTCCGGGGCAGGTTTTTTGGTGTTATTGTCATCGTTACCATGGCTTTTGTCTGAAAGAATATTGAGTCGTCAATGACCCAAGGGGAGGGCAGCGTGATGACAGCGGGACCAGCCCAGGACTGAGCAGAGATGCACAGGTGGCTGTTCAGCCCTGACCAAGGGACCTGCCGTGTGTGCACGATTCAGCCCTTCTGTGCTCCCGCCTCCCACTGTGCAGTCGTGCTTGGGTTACATGATTTTACACGGGCCCAAGCCTCTAAAATTCTGGAAGGAGTACGTATCCCTAGGTTGATTTTTTAAGTTTTTTTATTTGAGAGGGAGAAAAAGGGTGAGCAGGGGAGGGGCAGAGAGAGGGAGAGACAGTATCTGAAGCGCAGTGTATGCTGTCAGCACAGAGCCTGAGGCAGGGCTCCAACTCACAAACCCTGAGACCACAACCTGAGCCGAAGTCGGATGCTTAACCGACTGAGCCACCCAGGTGCCCCTCAATATACTTTCCTGAGTTTGAGAGCAACTAATAAAGAAGCAAAAGCTGCAAGCTCAGTGCATGTTCAAGGTACACTCTGTCCCGAATCACAGCCTGGGACCAGTTTATCTGACAGGGTGTGCCACAAGAAATTGGGATGTACGGCCATTCTATCCATACTCCAAGCAAGTCGACACACTTGGGACGACGTCTTCATTTCCTGGGAAAAACAGGATTTCTCTGGGGCGCCTCGGTGGCTCAGACGGTTGAGTGTCCAACTTGGGCTCAGGTCATGATCTCACTGTACATGGGTTCGAGCCCCGGGTCTGACTCTGTGCTGACAGCTAAGAGCCTGGAGCCTGCTTCCGATTCTGTGTGTCCTTCTCTCTCTCTCTGCTGCTCCCCTGCTCATGCTCTGTCTCTCTGTCTCAAAAATGAATAAACAAAAAAAAAAATCATTTTAAATCCCCGATTAAACTCAGGAGAAAATGAAATCACAACGTACGGTACATAATGAAACGCAGCGTACAGTTACATTGTAGGGAGTTGCACAGGCACGTGTCAGTGCTCGTCATAATTAAATTTTAATTGCTATTTACCATGATTAACTGGCCCTTTCTCCCTGCCAAGCTAAAGTGAAAACAAACTCCATTTGAAACTAAATTTCCCATCATCCCAGCCCCCTCCCCCCCCGGGGTGAAGGAGGGAAGGAGGGGGATTAACAGCTAGTTCTAGAAGCATGTACAGCTCCTGGCCTCATCTTCTGGCTTGCTGGAACTTTCCAGAAGGTTCTCAGGACTGATCAAACCCAACAGGCAAGGTTCAAACGAACAGAGTTTTATTCCGAGCCCAAACATTCAGGGGAGATAAAGCTCTGGCATGACTTCAAATAAGGCAGTTTGGACGTCCCGGAACCAGCCGGTAGGTATCCAGCGCCTGCATAAACCGAGGCGGAGAGGGTGCTCCGACGAGCACCAGGCAGCGGGGGGCGGCTGCCCGCAGGGAGGCGGCAGGGCAAACGGTGAGCTGCCTTGGCCGCCTCCCTTCCGCTCGGCCCCTTCTCCCGCTCGGGACAGGTTTCTCTCTCCAACTTCAGAGAAGCCTCTGGAAAGAAAGACACTTCACTGTCCCCAACCCGCGCGCACTTCCGGAAGGCAGGGGAGCCAGGCGCCCCGCCCGATTCCCCCTCTGCCGCCGCGGGTGTCGACACGAGGGCAGGCTTCCCACCCTGCACAAGAACCCGGCCCGGCCGCACCCGTCGCGTGACCTCCGTCCACGCAGGGGGCGAAGGTGGCCAGGGCCCCCGCCCTTTCCACACTCCCCATCCTGAGCCCCAGATGGCCATTTCCCAGCCCCTCCTGCGCTGGAACCTTCTCACTGCCCTATGGCTGAGCGAAGCTGAGCTAAACCCTCCCTCTGCAGATTGCGGATCATTGTAACAAGTTTAGAGTCAACACGTAGGTGCAGATTCACCGACGGTAAATCCACTACGTTCCACCCAGCCATGCGGTGCAGGCGCACCGTCTATTTGATTTCTACCAGCGTTTAGAGTGGAGACCCATGGAGTCCAGGAGCATCACGGGTCCTGCCGCCCGGGGGGGGGCGCGGCGGCGTTCAGGGCTCCTCCCGGAGGGCCTTAACCCTGCAGCGACTTTGCCCGCCTCGCTCTAATCACGCGGGAGGGAAGAGGAAGCCTGGCCGTTCTCCACTCCAGGCACACGGGGGCGCAAGAGCGCGGCGTTAGCCACGCAGGCGGCGGAGGGACGCTCTTGCTCTCGGGACTGCGGCGTGCTCGCCGCCCCAGGTCTGGAGCCCCGACCCGGAAGCGCTGGCGTCACGTGGGGCGGCGTGGCCCGCTGCCTTGGAAACGCCGCGCGTGCTCCGGGCGGGGGTCGCGGTGCAGGGGCGGGGTCTCGCGGCGAGGGAAGGGGCCGCTCGCGCGTCAGGATGCTGTGCGCGCCGAGGCTCGGCGGGCTCGGAGCCCGCGCGGCGACGACGTGGCCCGGGCGAGCGGGCTTGGGCGGCCTCGGAACTCGGATCCGGGCCCGGAGGGTCAGCACCAGCTGGTCCCCGGTGGGCGCCGCCTTCAATGTCAAGCCCCAGGGCCGCCGCCTGGACGTGTTCGGCGAGCGCCGGGTGAGCGGCGCGGGACGGGCTCCCCGGGTCCCCCCCGCGTGACCGGCGGGGACCCGGGCCGGGGCGTCTGGGTCAGGGAGCAGCCGGGCGGCGAACCCGCCTCGCTCAGCGTGCGCTCTCGGTGACCTTGCCCGTCACCTCCTCTGTGAGGGGCTGGTGTGGGGGGCGGGGCGGCCTTGAGGGGTCCTGCCCCCAGAAAGTGGGTCCCAGGACCTGCCGCTGCGTGAGCCCTGGCCCCGCGGGAAACTAGGCCGTCCCGGCGGTGGGCTCCGCCCGCCGGCCCCGCCCTCGCCGCGCGCGCGGACCGACGCCGCTCAAGTTCACGTGCGCTGCGGCCCAGCCCTCGCACTGCCGGCTCGCAGGCGGCGTCTCGTCGTCGTGGGGTTACTAATTACACCGACGCTCCAGGCGCCGTTGGGAGCTTTTCCCGAGGCTTTGGGCTCTTGTTTTTGTTGGTGTTGTTGTTTTTTAATGTTTTATTTATTTCTAGGAGAGAGAGAGAGAGAGGGACAGCGTGAGCAGGGGAGGGTCAGAGAGAGAGGGAGTCACAGACTGAAACAGGCTCCAGGCTCTGAGCTGGCAGTCAGCACAGAGCCCGACGCGGGGCACGAACCCACGAACCGCGAGATCATGACCTAAGCGAAAGTCGGACGCTTAACCGAGTGAGCCACCCAGGCGCCCCGGCTTCGGGCTCTTGTGATAAAACACGAAACTGTTGAGAACAGTCTTAATTTGTTGTAATGCGATGGCGTTGATCCCGTTGATTTCCTCCCCCCGGGGAGCCACTGACCGCATCCTTGGGTTCCTGTTTATTTCTGTCTCCCCGCGCGCAGCCTGGGGTCTGGCATTATGGTTAAAGGTGAAAGGAAGGCAGGCTGGATGTTGCCCTTGCATTTGTGGATTTTATCCGCCCCAGGTGGTTACTTTTATTTTTGCCTTTGTAATGTCCTCATCGTTTCTACCACTCCTTTCTTATTTAGGATGCAGTTCACAGTGAGCCTAATGATGTGTTTTCTTATTCGATCTCTGTCATTGCCTTTGTTTTAAACCTGTTTTTGTAAGAAATTGGCTACCCCACCTTCCGTATGGGTGAGTAACGGAATAAGGTATTAGCGTAATTGGTGTGAGAACAGCCACCTGTAGGCACTGAGTAGAACGATGGGAAAAGTAAGTTTGGTGTTGGGTGGCTGAAATAGAACTAATTTTAGCTTGGTTTTTTTCTTTCGTAGGTCATGGTTTTCTAGGTTTTCAGATACCTGAATTGGTTTTCGAGGAAACAAGAACAAGACAAAACCCCAAAGGGTTATGTAGTCCGAGGTTTAGAATTCCCAAGAGCAGTACGGAGAGGTGTGCTGGGAAATGAAACATAGTCTGTACTTGCATCAAATTAAATCAGTGTAAAAAATCTAAGTTGGTTTTGGTCCCAATGGAGTCTGCCTGCAACTGTCTTTATTTTTTTCAACTTCTTAGTCATTTTGGAGGGAGGTTAATTTCATGCATCCCTTCTTGCAGAAATGGTCTGAAAGTTTTGTCTCTTGCTGTTTTCCAAAATCAACCTATTAGTCACCTGCAGAGTTGAGCTACAGAGCTAAGCGCTGGTCCATTGCTGTCTCATTCGTGAGTTTGCCCAGCTGGTGGGGCCGAGCAGGGCAGCTGGTTAACATGATGAAAACGGCTCCTGCCTCTGGGGTTTTGCCTTCTCAGGAGAGACTTTGAAACAGATAAATTGCAGTACAGAAGTACAGAAATAGTGTGCGCTTTAGGGATGTACAGAGCAGGCTCAAGTTCGGTCTTTCCCACAGTTAATGACCTCAGCCCTTTTTTTTTTCTTTTAGCTTCTTAAAGTGTGTTCCCTTATTTGTAGAAGAAGGATGATGCCTGCACTAGGATTATGTGATTTAGACGAGGGAACCTAGGGGCACCTGGGGGGCTCAGTTTGTTGAGCAGCCAACTTCGGCTCAGGTCATGATCACACCATTCATGGGTTCGAGCCCCGCGTCGGGCTCTGTGCTGACAGCCAGCTCAGAGCCTGGAGCCTGTTTCAGTCTGTGACTCCCTCTCTCTCTGACCCTCCCCTGCTCACGCTGTCTCTCTCTCCTAGAAATAAATAAAAATATTTAAAAAGTAAACATTAAAAAATAAAAATAAATGACAGAACCTATATAAAGTACATAATTCTCTTTTTGGCGTATAGTAAATGCTTTGTGTTTCCCTCCTGGCTTCCTGAGTGTTGTAACACGTGTGAGTGACCAGGTACAAAAGGGTGGTCGTTCCCATTATAAGAGTGATTTCTGTCCTTATCAAGATCTGAAATGCTTTAGGAGACTATAAAATTTTCTGCTTTCAGCCAATGAGTTGGTTTTAACACCTTATTAAATCTATCAAAATATCTGTGTGCTCAGCAGTCAGCCCCTCCTCCCTGTCTCAGAGTTGTGGACTGCGTGGTTCTGTGGACTGGACCCAGTGGCCAGCAATGTCCCTGGAGACTTTACATAGACTTTCTAATCTAGTAGCTCGCGTATCCATGCTGTCAGGGATGGCTCGTCATCCCCATTGTGCCTAATGAGCCGAGACCCAGGATGGGGAGAGCTTGGCCACGCTCGCTCACACAGCTAGTGGTGATTGTAGCTAATATCTGTTAAATGGCTTTCTGTGTGCCAGGCAGTGGTAGAATGCTTTAAAAACACATCAGTTAATCCTTGTAACCACTTGACGAGGTAGGGTCTGAGCTGGGTGTTGAATCTGTATCGTTCTCTTTTCGTGTTGTATGGAATAACTGAAAATGAAAAACATTCTTAGAGTAGTTGTAGTTCAATTCGTGGGAACGACGTGGAGAATGTGAACCCGGTGTCTGAGATCACAGTTGGTATGTGATCCACCAATGAAAACCAGGGTTTCTTTTATAAGAAAAGGACTCCTCCTTAGTATGAAAAAAAAATTCTTATCTTTCGTTACCAATCAGAAATATTGTCTGGATTGCAGGGTCTTTTTGGAGTGCCCGAGCTCAGTGCCCCGGAAGGGTTTCGGATCGCCCAAGAAAGCGCCTTGAGGACGGCGGACCTGCTGGTGGAACGTGCGTGTGCCCTGCCCCCCGGGCCCCGGACCGTGCTCATTTTCGACGAGCTCTCTGACTCCTTGTGCAGGGTGGCCGACTTGGTAAGATGCTCGCTGTAAGCCTCGACGCCACCTCTGTGCCAGGCTGTGCAAGTTTAAGCTACGCTGAGCGGGTTTAATACTAGACTACGAAGTTGAAAGCACCTGACACTCGCTCTGGCAGCTGCTACACTCACGACCTCTGAACGTCCTGAGAGCCGACCTGTGGTCGTGGCAGTAAGTCGTCAGGACGGGAAAGCGGAGAGGGGGTGATAGGTAGGGCCTGTGCGTTAATACGTGTAGTTACCAAAATAACACCCTGATGAGTAATATGAGCGTGATTATGCGTATGCAAAGATTCTTCATACAAGCTGCTCCCAGGACTTTAATGGGACATTTCATTGTACGTTTACAATAAAATTAATGCAAAGCCCGTTTTTATCCACCTTTTCAGGAATGCCTTTTCCAGGGAAAGCTAGGATATGGGTACGAAACTGATTGCACTAATGGCTTCCTTTTTTCACGTTTCCAAGCTGAAGTAGACCTACACCAAGGTCCCTTTGCTGAGAAGCCGCTGCTGAGATAGAAGGCACACTTTTTTTTTTAAATACTTTTATTTATTTCTAGGAGAGAGAGAGAGAGACAGCGCGAGCAGGGGAGGGTCAGAGAGAGAGGGAGACACAGACTCTGAAATAGGCCCCAGGCCCTGAACTGGCAGTCAGCACAGAGCCCAACGCGGGGATCGAACCCACGAACCGCGAGGTCGTGACCTAAGCGAAAGTCGGACGCCCAACTGACTAAGCCACCCAGGCGCCCCTCAAGGCACACGTTTTTATCTGCCCGAGGGAGCCACCCCCTCATCGGTCATGTCAGTGAAGGCGATGGTCGTGGGGCACGTGATCCAAAACCGTGACCCCCACGAGGCTGTGTCCTTGGTTCTGGAGCCTCTGGTGCTTTCTCTTCACGTCTGTGGGCCAGGCACTGGGGCTGCAGGTCAGGACGGAGGCAGTCTCTGGCCTCAAGGCGTTTATATTCTGATGTGACCTCGTAGTTCTCCTGAGGCACAGGCCCTGGTAAGAGGCTGACCTGGATTGACAGGCCGGACCCTCTTAGCATTTTCAGATGAGGAGAGAAAGGCCGTCACGGGTCAAGCGATGTGCCCCAGGTCCCTGCCCAGTGAGTGGAGGGGCCAGGCTCGGGGGCCGGGCGTTCTGGCCGTGGGACTCCCGTCCTGCTGTCTCGAACCTTCCCCAGGCTGGCTGGCTGCTTCGCTCAGACGAACAGGTGTCTCTTACCTGGAGAAGTGGGAGAGGCAGTTAGCGTTTGAAAAAGCATTTATGTTTACAGTTATCCTTTGGCAAAATGGCCTTCTTTTGGGGCTGGTGTAGTTCTGTGAGGTTTAACTCCCGTATTCACGTAGCCACCGCCA